CAAGACCAAGCACCAGCACCTCTTGATTGAAGAGGACAGCCCAACCTTGACAGAGCAGATCCACAGCTTTGGGGTGCTCCTGGCTATGCAAAAGCTCTATTAATCTGTTATGAACATCTAGATGTGAATAGGGTTGAAATAATTATTCCCTGCCAAGTCCAAGAAGAGAAGTGCTGAAGGATTTGGTGATGTCTGCCTGAAGCACAGGTTGTGAGATGATGCACTCAGTGGGGGTGCAGTATCGGGGTGCTTTCAGTCTGAGCACAGTGTTGTTTCACTGTCACCCTTGGTTGAGGAGCTCACTGTGTGTACTCTGCAGCAGTGGGAGGTGGGATGTAATCGTTGAGCTGTAGCCATGATTTTCTTTTAGCACAAATCCTGAGAAATTTTCATGGCTGTAAGCTTGCAAAGGGATGGCTGGAAATGAAGTTACTGATTTGTGGGAGACTGAACTAAAATGGGTTGCATGTGGAATTTCAGCTGGGATAATATCCTTCCGGTGCCATGAGAATGAAGGTGGCGAAAATCAGTGCTAAAAGGTTTTTTTTACCTCTAAATGAACTGGGAAGGTGCGTAAGGAAATCTCACAAATGTCTCTCACTCCTGCTTGTTTCTGGAGAAGCTGTTCAAGCCATTTAAGAGCTTTAGATTTTACTTTTTACCCTAACAAAATATCTCCCAGCCCCTGCTTCTTATCAGTCACGTAACATCTGACGGCTGCTGCTCTCCAGAGCACACGGCCGCTGTAGGTAGGAATAGCTCGCTCTGGTATTCCGCACTCGGAGGGGCTGGGGCTTTTGGAGCTCCTGCCATCAGAGGTGGAGCTGCAGCCACCACCCACAGGCACTGTGAGCCTTCACCTCTCAGGGAGGCTGGTGAGGTCTTTCCTGACCAATGAAAGCCAAACGTCAGTAACAGAATGACAATAACTCGAAGTTAAGATTGCAAGATCATCTTTATTAGAGTAGACACAGCAATTTAGTGCATGAAAGAACTAGAAATACCCACTAAGTGGATGAATCTACCTAAACTTTGTGTGGCCAAGAATTTTCTGTGCTTTGAGATTGTACTTTCCAGCAGTTCAGAGTGATTGAGTTTCAGTTCCTGTGTGTTGTCTGGTTTTTCTGATTTTGAAGATGCCATTGGAAGCACATTCAGCACTATTTTCCATCTGCCAGCTTCTCTCTTTTGTCTACAATCATACAGAGACAAAGAACAGCAATTACTTCAGCATAACACACATGAGACCATTCTGCAATGGGCACTGGGCTGAGTTTATGTCTTGTCTCTCATTCCCTTCTCTCAGAACTTTTCTTCTTCATAGCATTGATTTAAATTATACATCACTGTTACAACACAGCTGACCTTTAAAAGCTCAAGGCAAGTTTTACTTGCATGTTCACACAACTCTCCTGAGCTGGCCAAGCTTAAATTTATTGTATTCTTTCATGTGGGAGGATGATCAAACATTTTGTGCTTTACTTAACCTTTATGGTAGCATAGTATGAGATTTTTTTCTCATGTCTCACATCTTTTAATGACTGATATTTTCTAAGTTCTAGCCAGAGTTGTTATTTGTTATTTATTTGATTTTTTTCTGTGACACAAACCAGTGCAGCAGACCAGTCTCTAGAATGGACACAACCACCATAATGTTGTGTACTCCCTTTTAGAAAATAAGACTTATTGGACTCTTGAAGTTTTTCTGAAAGAGAAAGTATTCTTACCAGTGGTTCCAGAGAGGGATCCAAACATGCTGTAGAACAAAGAGATCAGAGTTAAAAGGAAAGGTAGCACATCGGATGCTGTGTGAGATGAGAATCTATGAAAGCAAGTTCTCTCTCAATCAGCTACGTTTAGTACATAGAGAGGAGATTATCATCTCCTTCCTTTCCCTCTCAGCTCTGGAGAGGGAATTGTTATAGGAAATTATTTTTAAACAGTGGGAAAAGACAATTATGGAAAAGAAGGAATAGTGGAAATCAAAACCTTTCAACTCCTACCTATTTTTTTTAAATTCCAGGATATGAGGTATTTTCCTCCATGGGGCTGTATGGGAACCGACAGATAGGTGCGCTCCCATGGGGGAGGTCCATTTGATGGCTCTCTGAAAACAGCTACCCTATCTGCCTCCACTGCTCTTCAGAATATTTTTTTCTACACTGATTCCTATGAGGCAAGACCTATTTAACTGGTAGCAGGAAGTTTATGGGAATTTGGTGCTAATCCCTATATTCTGTGACACGACTTACTGCACAGTCTTTCCTGAATGTCAAGCAGCTAATGATCAGTTATCACTTTTATTTGTATTTTAGCTCGTGCTGCCCTTTGTTTAGAAACTCTCTAAAGTACTTCATGTAAATGGGAATCGTAACATTCCTGGCTCCACCATGGTCCAGAAAAATGAATTTGTTAAGAATTTTAACAGGCCAGAATTTTAATGGCCTGGTCCCTTGTGATGAGGCTAAGTGAGGTTTTCTGCAGGGAGCAGTTACTTACTGGGACTCCTGGCCCTCCAGGAGCTGTCGGTAAGTGGCGATCTCTTGCTCCAGTCGAGTCTTGATATCCATGAGGAGCTTGTACTCGCCGTTCTGGCGCTCCATCTCAGCTCGGAGCTCAGCCAGCTGCGCCTCCAAGCTGCCGATCAGGCCCTGGATCTGCGCCAGCTGCGCCCCGTACCGCCCCTCCGTGTCCGCCAGCGTGCCCTCCAGCGCCGCTTTCTGCCAAGTGCATGGGGTGGGAACCACAGAAAGGTTGGTGTCAGGTGCCCGACTCCTTGCAGGGAGGGGAATACGGACCCACTGCAGTGAGGGGGGCTCCTGCCGTGCAAGGTTTAACGTACCATGCTGAGCTGGGACTGAAGTTCTATTTCCAGCCCTTGGAGGGTGCGTCTCAGGTCGGTGACTTCGGACTTGCTGCTCTGCAGTTGTTCAGTGTTCACAGCTACCTCACGGTTCAGCTCTTCAGTCTGAAACATTACATGAGAAATAAGGGGCCTCTAAGTAGAGGTCATAAGGCTTTCACAGCAGTTTTCTGTGAGTTTTAATAATTATTTTGTTTCTTTCATGGATTTTTTTTGTTAGTATTTGTATAGTATGAATTTTTTTCTACCTTGTTGTGGAACCAGGCCTCAGCATCCTTCCTGTTCTTCTCAGCCATATGTTCATACTGGTCTCTCATATCAGCAAGGATCTTGGTCAGGTCAATGCCTGGAGCAGAGTCCAGTTCAACATTGACTTGTCCAGCTACTTGTCCTCTCAGAGCACTCATTTCCTACATGGAGATGACAGAGAAAGACAAATGAGGGTACAATCATAAACTGAAAACATGTTGAGCCTTCTGGTCTTTCTTCAAGGGCTAAGGTCTGACTGACTCCCCTTTAGCACTTGCAGGGGGTATCTCAGGTTTCCCAATCTACACAGAAATCTTTTCTTCACTGTTGGGAGGCCTGGGGCAATCATGAGGGACTCCACATTTCCACGTGCTGTTTTTCTAATGTTGCTTTCAAATGTGTTTCTTGGGGTTTTTTTACCTCCTCATGATTTTTCTTGAGGTAGGCCAGCTCCTCCTTCAAGTTCTCAATCTGCAGCTCCAGGTCAGTCCTGGCCAGTGTCAGCTCATCCAGGACCTTGCGCAGGCCGTTGATGTCGGCCTCCACGCTCATGCGAAGAGCCTGTTCTGTCTCAAACCTTTAAAATGCAAAACAAAGCTACTCAGGTTAGCTGATTAAGCCAGCCCACCATGAAACTTTTCATCACATGCTTTATATGATGTAGAATCTTCCATAGCGCTTTCAGCAAATATAGAAAGGGCGGAACTGCAACAGCAGGATCACACTGGAGTTCACCGAGATGTATTATAGGCATTCCTTTTTTCACAGCCACTGCCTTTTGGGTCAAAAAGGATTTGAGCCTATTCAAGAGACCTTTTTCCTTTCAGAAATTACTCACTTGGTTTTGAAGTCGTCAGCAGCCAGCCTGGCATTGTCAATCTGCAAAACAATCTTGGAGTTGTCGATAGTGGCATCAAGGATCTACAAACAATGAGAGTTCATTGCTGAGACTGAAACAACTACATTATCCTCTTTCCTGATCTGAAGATAAAAGAGTTAAGATTTCATCAATAGCTACACCACATAAAAGTGTATTTTATTTGGTCTTGGTAGGAAAGTATCAATGATCTGTAGCAAATCTGTAGCATGGATTTATCACAGTACTCTTGCCATGATAGTCAGTTATGGGTAGGTCCCCTTGCTCTTGTCTGGCATATGAAGTGGCTTTCAGCTACAAGTCCCACAGTGAGACAAAACTGTGGGCTGTTTTAGAGGGAGAGGACTTTGGTGAGCCAGGTGGTAGGTGATGTTTTCGGACTGAGGCAAGAGACCTATTTCCTGGAGAGATGCAAAGGAAGCGAAGGCTGCAGACCCTCTTGGCAGTTTGTTCTCAGTAAACATTTTCTTAACAGTGGAAAGTGATTACAAGGGCTATATGATTTTAAATTAAATGACATGTTTGTGTTTCATAAACAAGCTGGGTACATATTGCATTTGTATAGTCTTTTAACACATTTTATGTCCTAGGATATCAAGGAGAGTGTTTATTGATTTTTCTAATGCATCATGAAAGCCTCTAAGGGAAATTTAGTTTATTTAGGCTTAACCTGTGTTCATTTTTACCTACAAAACATACCCTTTTTTGCCTGCCACTTTTAAAACTCAAAGCGTCATTCACAAAAACAGCTGGAATAATGTTTTCTCTCTCCTAACTGAGAGGAGTAAAGGACAGGAGGGAAAGGTATGCTAGAAGGAGAAAATCTGATTGCTAGTCCTGCCCTTACTGGAGCTCAGTGTTTGAAATTGGTGGAGAATGTGAATGTGCTGAAGCAAGGAGGAAGAAAACTGTGTGGGAACAGTCATGAACTGCAAGCTGATCTATGAAAACTAAACCTCAAGATTTCTTCCATTTATTTACATAGCTTAATCAGCTGCTACCTGTGTTTTACGGGTATGTATCATCTCAAAGTAATCTGGTATCAGGTACCCATGGGCTATTGGGGCAAATCCTGCATTTATATCTGTGATGGATTACTTCATGCCTGCTATTTCCTTTTTCCATAAGCCAAGTGTTTCAGCAATCTTATTTCAATTCCAACCTTAAGTAAGTGAAATGGGAAAGGAAAATAAATGTATGATGATTAAATCTCTAGCTGCTATCTTCACATTTACAAAATTATATTTAACAAATTTTTATCTTACTGCTCAAGCAGTGTGTCAGTGCCTGTGAAGTTTTCCAAGCTACATGGCAGGTAGCAGGCTACAGAGATAGGCAGGTTGCTGTCATTCTTTTTGCTCTCTGTATATTTATCAGTATATATATGGTCAAATATATATATATTAACTGGTCATATAAGTGTATATGACCAGCATGTGGTATATATATGGTGTGTATGTATATGCATTGTTAAAAGCAAACATTATCAGAGAATTAAGAACAATGACATCTCTGATTCTTTTGTACCTTCTCTTGGCTAACATTTAAAAAAGCAGACAATTCAATACTGATCTTTTCTTTATCCACCTCACCTGATTATTACATACCAGTTTCATCATCCTCTCAGAATGCAGTGCCTTCTGGGTGTTTGCCTAGTGAAGTTTTTATCTTTGGGCTTTTATGCTTCCTTCTTAAGTGCAAATCTAAGATGATTTTTAATAGATTTTTAATAAATATTAAGACCTACCTTGTCTCGAAGATCTTCAATAGTCTTGTAATACAGACTGTAGTCCCGAGCTGGACCTGGTCCTTGTTTTTGGTACCAGTCTCGGATTTTAGTCTCAAGATCAGAGTTTGCCTCTTCCAGTGCACGCACTTTGTCCAGGTAAGAGGCAAGGCGTTCGTTCAGGCTTTGCATGGTTGCCTTTTCATTTCCTGAGAGGAGGCCATCACTGCTACCCAGACCATAACCACCGCTAAAGCTGCTGCTGAAACTACTTCCATACCCACCACCCAGGCCACTTCCTAGGCCAGAAGAGGCAAATCTAGCAGAAGAGACTGACACACTCCTGCCGCCAGATCCCCCGTGTATGCTTGGAGCCCTAAAGCCACCTGCACCGAAGCGGATTGTGGAGCCACCGGGTCCCCCTGCCACAGAAGAGGTCGTTTGCCTGAAGCTGTAAGTGGTCATAGTGAGAAATACCAAGGACCTAACTCGAGCTACAGATCACGCAGTTTGTGATCCTAGGGCAGGAGTGTGTGCTCTGGTCCCCCACCCCACCTCTTTTATGCCTGTGACAATGGGAGTTGTCTCCAGAATGTGTTATCTGAGACCCGTGGAATTTATCAGCCCTGAACCTTCTGCCAACACGGCAATTCCTCTTATTGGTCAGTTGCTATGAAATGGGCTGTGTTTCTTTCCCAAATACCTTCATGTACAGGAGCTGATTCCCTCCCTCTGGCCATTTCCTCTTGAAGCAAAAAGTGGGATTCAGAGGAGGCGTCACCCTGTTGAGGGAGTGCTCAGAGATCTCCTTGGAGTTCACCTTCATGGGAACAAAGGGGCTGGGAGTGCCCAGCCCAGCTGCGCTGTGTCCGCAGCAAAGTCACACAACCACTTTCTTAATGTAATCTCAGGAAGGAGTTTTAAAAGAGTGAGTAAGTTAGTATGTGGTAGACTGATAACAGGGGTTGAAAGGAGCCCAAGTGGAGAACAATGTGTGGGCCTTGACAAAACAGGTTCCCACTCCTCTCTTCTTATTTCCCTTGAGAAAAAGTCTTCTTTCAGAAGTATAGTTTTCACTGTTTCTTTCTTTCCTCTCAGTTCCATTTGTGCTAACAGTAGAAGAGAGGGTCTGACAGAGAACAGTTGCTATCCAAAAGAGTCTGGTTTTCTACAGAAACAAGAATCCTCTTCAAGGAACCATAGAATCATAGCTATGTTTGTAGCAGAGATAAGCATTAAACTTCCTGAATACCTGGGGAGTGAACAACACCGGAAACAGCTGCCTGATTATACATGTAGTCCTTTCATTGCTACTGAAAGTGGGAAGTGAACAGAAGAAACATAATCTCTTTTATCTTCTTATCTTTGAGACTGATGAAAATGAACATTTCTAAAATGTTTAAGTCCTCTGCTATCCAGGATGCATTTTCAAAAGCAGTGTTGCTTTTGTTACTGCAAGCTCCTCCAGGAGCATCCATAACATACAAGAAGATATTCACATCTTTTCTTCCCTCCTCTTTCTTTCACTTGCCACCCCTCACCCCCTCCAACACTCTGGGACTCCCAGAACTGCTTTAAAGCATGAGGGAGGAAGCTGGCAGCTTTCTGGGAACAAATACTGCCTGGGCAGAAACTCTGCTACCTACAAATGCTTCCACTAAACAGAACCTTTGGAGCACCAGATGCATGCTGTGATGTTTCAATGAGAAATCCATTTAATACCAAACCAAAGAATTAAAGATAAGCCAAATGAATAGCATACTCAGTGTGAGGGCCTGTCTAGTCCTTCTATAACAATAATAAATACCTCAGGTATACCACATGTTAGGGCTGTGCTCACTTTGTGCAGAGAGGAATGTCAAACTGCAGGGCAGCCATAGGGAGGGCGAAAGAACAAATATTCAAGCTGGCAGCTGGCCAAGGCACCTGTATCAACAGCCCACTGGTCTGTCTCTAACCATGAAGCTGTATCAGAAAGAGGAATTCTCAGTGACTCAGGCACGGAATTCATCCCTTCACAGACAATATGTGCTGTACATTCCCTGAGGGTGCAGCCCAGGGGCATCACAGCTGAGCTCCTGTCTTCCTGTAGAGACTGCTGCACTCACACGGCTCTGCAGCTTGCACAGGAAAGCTGAACAGCCTTTCCTAGGAGAGACATGGAGGACACGTGCCTGCCAAAGACCCCGTAGCTGTCCCTCCTGTAGATCTGAATGCCCTGTTCACCCTCGGTAGGAAAAACCTGCCCAGCAGGTAATAGTTCCAAGTGCTGTGAATAGGTGAAATAGCACCAGACAGAAAGCAAGCTACAGAGGAACAGTTATTGTATTGTTGTTAAATATTAAGTCCATAGTCAGAGCATAAGGAATGAAAATCTGTGTGGTTTTTTTCACTGAACAGAAATGCAAGAGCCTAAAAGAACAAAACCCAATATATTCTCATTTATCTCCTGCTCCAAGGAGAGTGGAACATCCTTCTCTCCTTCATCATTCCCTAGCTCCCATGGAAGGTCCTCAAAGCCATGTATTTTGGAGTTCAGGAAAAAAAAACAAAACACATTTATGATTCTGCATAATATTTATGATCCAATTAATGAAAATTGGGGTCTGGCAGGCTTCTTTGTTCCTCTTGAAACTCTCTGAAATTGGGTAAAAGTAGCAATCGCTGTGCATTATTCTGTTAGAATGCTGATAATGTCCTGCAAGCAGGTTAGGTTTGCTTCAGTGTACGGGGAAGAATTTCCCAAAGAATGAACTGTAATTCTCTCTGGCACTTTGGATGTGTATCTGAAAATGTCAGGAGAGGAAGAGCTTGGCAGACACTTTCAAATGAAGTAGCTGTTTAACCTTCTTGTAACCTTCTAGTTGAAAATCAGGGCCTCACATGGCATTTTTACCAAAACTGCATACTAAATTTCCCAAAAGGTTTTGATTTTCCTTTAACTACAAGTCTCTTTTACCTCAACTGCTGCATGTGTTTGTTTTTGCGGAGACTCTCTTTAGGTGGGAACATGTACTTTAAATGCTTGAAAAACTTCTGCTCAAGATGTGCTCTACCGTTCTGTGTAGGTCTTTTTATCTCCCACTACAATCAACCTAATTTATTGTAGGGATAGCTTTTCCTTAAGGGAAATACAAGGAATGGCCAACAAAGGGAATTTCTTTTATCTGCAATTTATCGGAGGGTAAAAGAGGCAGCAAGTGAAGTCACCCAGCAGGCTGGTGGAGACAGCCCACGCCCAAGGTCCTGAGACCTGGTTCTGCTTTGCCTTTATCTACTCTGCTTTACTAATCACTATGCTTTATAACATTGTTCATCTTGTTTCAGGATATGTTATTAAGTGTTCTGTAAAAATTTTCTGCTCCCTTGAGTGACACTTCTCAGATCCTGCTAAATTTGCTTCCAGGCATTGATAACACAATTACAAGTAAATTAACTCAGTGAACATTTTAACCTACTTTATTGGTGTCTGCACTCCACAGATGAGGAAAGTCAGGCTATTACTCTGATTTACCTTCTAATCCTTTAAGCATTTGTCCCTTCTGATAATTCTCCCTTTCTACATCTGCCTCCATCCTGTTTTGGATGTGCGTTTTTGGCCTTCATCTCTTCTAATGGTCATCTAAACTGGCCACCCCACCCAACTGATCATGTCATATACACTCTTAGAATCACAACTTTGTGTGTTCTTCTCTCCTGTTGAAGATCATAGGCATAAACATTTGAATTTTTAAATTGAAATACAAAATATTATATTTTTTTCTTTAAACTTCTTTGTGGGAAAAACCAACAATGAAAAGAACTGATTTGCAGCTGTTACTGAAATGACTGTGTTGGCTGTCTGCTTCAGATACAATTCTTAGCTTTCTTGCTTTTATATCCCATCATTAATCACTTGTTTTTTATCCTCTCAAACATCCCATTGTGACACGTTTACTGAATGTGCCAGCAGATTCAAAGACAAGAATGTTTACATGCTGCAAAGGCAGGTCCTAGCATATGCACACACAGCTGTTGGCAGTTTAAAAAGAGGGTAAGAGCAGAGAGCACCACTCTCTGCTTGCCCAAAATTACTAGTTTTGTAAAGTAGAGGGAATGTGATTCAGTGAAATGTATGTGGGTGCCCCTTTTTCTACATTGGAATAAATGAGAAATAAGTCATGTAAGGGTTCAGTTTTCAAAGAAATTTTGAGAGTAAGGCACAGGACAATCATTTGTATCCAGGGGTTAATTCTTTCATGGCATAAAAGAGACAAAGATTCAGTGATTTGAGCTGAAGTTGAAAGATACAGGTTCCTGTTGAGCTCCAAGCTTCTTTAGTGATATTAGGACATATAATTTAGTTTCTTAATGTTTGTAATTTATATAATATTCTAATAGATTAATATGAGGAAAATATATAAAAGATGATGAAGAAGTCCAGCAATTCAATAACTGAGAGCTATGTAAATACGAGGTGGGTACTTGAAACTGGATATGGTGTGTACTTTTGGCAGCACCTCAGTATTGCCTCTGTTGCCCTAGCAACGTAAATTGCTTTTAACTCTTGACCTGTCTTATCAATCCAGGACTGCAATGATAATGCACATCTGGGGGTGAAGTACCTGAGATAGGAAAAGAAATTAATTTTCTTCCAGAATTATTAAAAAATGTGTGGAAGAAAGGATCAGTTAGAACACCAAACCCTGATGAGTAAAAGATAAGTCACTGGATGTATTTTTACACTTCCTTTAAGTTGTATCTGGTTGGTAAATCTCAGCAAGGTATGAATAGGGTTGGAAACTATTACTAAGATTCCAACATCCAACTGACAAGAGGATGCGTTCCAAAAGTCAGGTTTCTGCAGGCAGCAGCAATGAGCCCCTTAGAGGCAACTGCCAAAACCAAATAGATTAAACCCCTCCTGGCCTCAGAGCAGCTGAGCTGCCTGCTGTGGGGCCAGCAGCTGCCCTGCCCTCCTGGGTCTGGAGGAGGCCTAGAACTATTCACAGGGCCTTTCCCCACAGGCCACGTGGAAGATTCCTGCTAAAAAAAAAAATTATCCCAGACTTTGTAGAAACAGAGTAGGTGGGTTTCATAGCACAGGGAGGGATGAGCTGTTTCATTCTGTGCATGTCTGTAAAACATTTGGAGAGCATATTTGTATCTGTACTGTTTATGTTTATGTGCTTTTAAATTTGTATTTATAGGCATGTATTTATATATTTGTATTTATTTACATCTATATTATTATTTCTCTTCCTAATGTTGTAAGAATATATTCTCACCATAGTGGCAAGCCAGTTTGCAGTATGGGCAGAGGTTTTACTATGCAAGCAGCAAATAAATATTCTTCATCAAATCAGAAAACACAGAGCTGTCTTTGTAGCCTGCTTTACTGATCCTCCAGGTGGTTTCATACTGGTTTTTGCCTGAGATAAATTCTCAGAGGCTCCAGAGATCTGTTAGGTTCAGTGAGAAAACTGAACTCTCCATTGAGGGTAGGTCCTGCAGGCACTAGTTGCAAGAGCTCCTGCCAGGGAGGCGTTTGGAAAACAGCTTCATCTCCTGGCAACAATCAGCTCATGGGGAACAGGTTCTGCAACCCTGGTTGTGTCTGTTCAGCATGGCTGCACACCTTTAGGGAAGGAAAAGGGTTATTTCTAATCACTTCAACAGTTTGCTCCATTTGAAAATAGTAGTTTATAGGCAAATGTCACACTATCTGTGTGGATTAGGTAGGTCACCTTCCTGGACAGTCCTGCCCATCAACTGTAACTGAGAACCATGGCTTTGCTCCGGCCTCTGACACTTGTATTCAGCTTTAAATCTTCTTTTCATTAAATACTAAGGTCTGCGCCAACTGTCCCACCACCAAACCAAACTGACTGAAATACTTGCTGACTGCCTTTTCATTATCTTCTAATGGATTCAGCTTTCATAACTGATAAAACATGTAAGATTCTGGTGACATGATTTCTAACAGTATTTTCAACAGAAAGGAGTCGTCAGCATTTGTTTAAAATATTTGCTTGTCTGTAATCACTAGGAACATTTTGGTGCTGCCTTCATTTGTGACAGTCTGACATGTAGTTGTGGCAAAGAACTGAACTGAGATTATAAATGTAAGAAAATGGCGATTGCCAAGGCAGTAGGTGCCTCTGATCCACAGTCGTCCTCCTGCTGCCAGGGCTGGGCGAGCACAGGAATGTGTGCCAGGGGAAAGGTGTTCCCTGCAGCCAGTCTTTGCAATGCATCTCTGAGCGTGGGCTCCTAACTAGTGGGTTATTAGGAGTAATTGCAGGGTGCATAAACTTCTCTTTAGGCAGTGCTAAAAAAGGGATGAAAGTCAGCTCTGGTGTGCCTGAAATGGTATGTTCACTGTCCCAGCCACAAGACAGCATTTGCCCTTAGGGTCTGTCACAGTGTGAGAATTCTAAAGAAATGTGGAAGTTTGTTGGCATTACCACTCCAAAATGTTATTTATTACATGAAGCTTAATAGAAATGTGTTATTTGAAACACAGAAAGAAAAGCTTTTCCTGCAAGAATTTTTGTACTTGCTTAACTTGACTGCTAGTATTTCTCGTGATGATGGTAGGCTAGTAAATGTGAGACATGTTACAAAAGTAGCTTCCTGTCATCTCATTTCTTACCAGAAACACAGTGAATCACAGGTTTTTCGTTCCTGGAGACAGTGGTGGGGCCAAGAGGGAAGCTTGCCTTGCAGGGGCTGTCTGAAGTGCCGGGGCCTGGCTCAGCAAAGCCATTTCCTTGTAGCCAGGAGTGCAAGAGACTTGGAAGGAGTGTGCACCGAGCTGCAGGGGTAGCAGTGAGGGGCTGTTGTACCTGTCCAGACCCGGCAGCTGCCTTTGCAAACAAAAACATTTGCTGCAAATCCAGATCCCCCATGTCCGTGGTGGTCCCAGTCCAGCATGAAGCCCCGCAGAGAATTCAGTCCACTGATTTCTGGTTCTTGTTTTACGTTCTTGTCTATCCGGCTGTTTCCCCCCTCTCATCTTCCTCATTGCTGAAAATGTTATATTGTGCAGGTGGAGATTATTTATTTTCAGCATTATGAAACTCAAACACACCCAAAGATGATAATGCACAACACCACCGGTTGCCTTTGGAAACAGTCACAGTACGAACTGTCGGGATCTCCACAGTCCCCCCTACAGGCCTGGTTTTTAAACGCATTCAATTGAACCGCATTCTTGGTACAATTCTTCCCTTCATTCGGTAGTGCCTGCCTGCCTGCCTGCCTGCCTGCCTGTCTGTCTGTCTGTCTGTCTGTCTGTCTGTGGCAGCCACTGTTGATACTAAATGAGTTGAAAACAGAGACAAAAAAACTTCAGTGCTAATGAAATGTATGCAAGAATAATATTTTTATTTAATCTGAATTTGCTGATTTCAGATGGAATTACCTAAAAGCATTCAGGGAGAATTATGTGAAACAAATGTTTCCTCACTTTTTCTTCACTATCCTTCATGATGAATTAATTGCTAACCTTTGCTGTCTGTTCATTCGGTTTGTTACCCTATGTGGTATCACAATGTCACCCCTGTGAAAAACGTATCTATTTCATTATTATTTAAGCTGTTCTGGCCTTGGCTTAACCATTTCCAAGTTAGGAGGCTTGAATTTAATGTTGAGACAGTTTGGGGCCATTTCTGTCACAAATGCTATTGTGTGTTTTCTGGCCTGGCTGCTAGAGGCTGTGCCAAGCACCCGCTGTGCAGGGTCCGGAAAGTCCGTCCCCGGAGCGGAGCTCTGGGACCCGGTTGTGCTGGGTGGTTGGCCAGAGGAACACAAAATAGTTTCTCTGACTCGTTTATTTTTTCTGCTGTGCTGAGAATTCAGTGCTGGATTGTAACATGGAGCCAATTTTAGGCCTTTTAAAATCATTCATTGGTAGCCAAAATGATGATCCTGTGCCTGACCTGCAAACCAAAATGCAAGTGCAAAGCTGCTTGAACCAAAACTGTTGGTGATGTATTTGCTGTTCACAGAACAATGAGGGCCTGTGAGACCCACCCTGCTTTTTTACAGGCACAGCTGAATCACTCTCTGGGCATGTGGCAGACCCTGTTCAGCTGCTTTCTCAGCCCATGGCAAATCAGAGGCTCAAATACAGATTTGTAAGTTTTAAATGCGTGAGACATTTCTCAATTTTTAATTCCTCTCTCTATCATGTGTTACATGGAGTGGAACAGTTTTAGTAAGAAAGACTGAACCTTGCCTCCACCCCTCCATCCCAGAGACCTGTGCAGCTGTGGAGCTACAGTCTTGTGAAATACAGCTACACACTTTGCTATATTTTGAACCATCAGATAAAAGACCTGAACCCAGGTCTTCCAACATGTCAGGAGTAATCCTAACACTTGAACTTTGTGTTATAAGGAGAACTTCTTTGCATACTCATCACTTGTGTCCTGATCTAATCCCTTGCTTTAGTTGAACAAGATTAGATAGAGCCCTAATCTAAAAGCTGGGAGAGAGTGCTGCCTGAATATGGCTGATTTCTCATTCAGTGACCTGAAGGAAAATGTTTTTGGTTTGCCAAAATGTTAATTATATGTTGGAGTTAATTATTGTTTCGGGTCAGCTGCTGAACTAGCAAATGGGCTACGTGCACATCCCTTGCAATCTCTGACAAAGAGTTTCACCGCCCTTCCCTGTAGGTGTCACTCGAGTTAGTGTGAACACATTGGTCCATCTCCAGTGCTTTATCCAGCCATCTTCTGATGAAGTGAGGATGCACAATTCTCTTTGGGTCCGTATCATGTAAAATACCTAACCTTAGCTTCTCTGTGAAGGTATATCTCCTTTGTTCCACCTTAATTTAAATACAATATTAATATACCAAATAGATTGTTGGACACGGTTTCCTTTGCATTGCAGAAAGTTTTATTAGATGCATTATCAGCAGAAAGTAGATCACCAGTTGCACTGCAGAGAAGTGCAGGTAGATACAGTGATTGCAGGTGAACAATATAAAAAGGAAGCAGTAGATAATTTCAGGAGAGTGCTGGGAATTATTCATCCTGACTTTGTAAGTAACAATTGCAGAGCAACCTGGGCAGGCACATGGGGTTTGCTGTGGGTGTCACTGCACTGTGGGCCAGGCTGCTTAGGGGTAGATCAGATTGATGCACTGGTTGGATCTTAACACACTCTTGATTGGCCTGTGGAATGAAGGAAGAAAACATTACTCTGATAGGAAATCAAGAGTCTCTTGCAGCACTGATCTTTCAGATGTGCCCATTACTTAAACGTCCATTGGTGTTAGCAAAAGCGTGGGAAAGGGCTTAGCCTGTTTCTGTAACTGAAGCTGACACCTTGAAATTAAGAGATTTGAGTGTGAATGGTTTAATCCCTGTTGCAGTTGCAAATGTGAAAGTCGTAACACAAGAGATAGTATTAACAGAAAAAGAGATCAAACACAAAACATGTAAGTCACAGGAACAGGATAAAAGAGGATTCTCTTTGGAAGATGTTTCTTACCTGTCCTGTCACCAGATGAACCATGAGAGTAGGAAGTAGAAGAATAAGAGTGGGAGGTTAATCCCCCACCTTGGAGAGCTCCTTGAGATGTTCTGTGCAAGAAAAAGGGTTTTAATGAAGAGAATGATAAATGCATTCATAGAGAGACACGCTGTGATGTAATATGCAGTGCATGTCACAGCTTGGCTTGGCCTAGACCTTGCAAATTTTTCTTTATATTTTAATTTTTTTTTTCCTTCCTGTCAGCTATGTTTTCTGCATAAATAGAAAAAATTATTAAAAGTGTAATTCTTCTGCTGTCACAGTCCAGCTCTGATTGCCCATCTGCTGACTGAAGCCAGTGTAGTACCTTTCAGGTGTACATAGTGATTAATGAAATTCATTCTACGCAAACAGGCATAGAGTGGTTAATGCAAGAGTTAATAAACTGGTTAATGCAAGAGTTCAGGAGATACGAGCTGTGTGCTTCTCTCTGTGTTTGATGTGCTTATTACATTTACGATATATAGATTTCCATGCAAATGCTGACAAAAAAATCTGCTGCATTTAGATTTTAACTGTGAACTTGGAAATAATTCAAGTCCCGAAATAAGTCCCAGTAGAGAAAACATAATAATTGAGGTTATTCCCTTATTTGAAACCAGAATACATACATGTCCTGCTGTCCCTCCTGCAGCAGGGCCCGGTACTGAGCGATCTCCTGCTCCAGGCGGGTCTTGATGCCCAGGAGCATCTTGTACTCCTGGTTCTGACTCTCCATCTCGCAGCGGATACTGGCCAGCTCCTCCTCCACAGAGTTAATCTGCGCTTGGATTTGTTGCAGCAGGAAGCCGTAGCGGGAATCCGTTTCTGCCAAGGAGTTCTCCAGAGAGGTTTTCTGGAAGTGGAAGTGCAGGAGCTCAGGGCCAGAGCTCTCCCCATCCCTGCCCAAGGCGGGAGTTTCCCTTTGGGGGAGGGAAGAGCCCCAACCCCTGCCCCACATACCGTGCTGAGCTGCGCCTGCAGTTCAATCTCCAGATTCTGCATTTCACGTCTCAGTTCCGTGAGCTGGTGGCTGCTGGTCTGGATGTCCTGGCTGCTGGAGGTGACCTGGCGGTTGACTTCTTCAATCTGCAGGAGTCAAGCCCCAAACACACAGTTTGTAAGTGAGAAAACCCCACGGGGAGCAGATGTGCTGACTGAGAGCTGAGCTCGCCAGGGAGCCTGTCCCTCTCATCCCAGCCTCATGGAGGAGAGCCTAGTCATTGCTCCATAGATGCTGAAGTTCCACCCAGGTCTGTGTATCAGCCCTGGCCTGCTTCCCCTCTGCCACTGCAGTCATCCCACAGCACTTTGTCCTTCCCATTCCCCAGCTGTGGAAGGGAGGTGCAGGTGAGCAGCCTCCCCCTTTCAGCTGAGGGCGTTGCATGGCCAGTGCCAGGGTGCCTGGGCTTCCCCACAGAAGGAGACGCTGCTTGGTGTGTCGCTACGTACCTTGACTTCGTACCACTGCTCCACCTCTCTGCGGTTCTTCTCAATGATCTGCTCGTATTCGTTTCTCAGGTCATTGAGTACCTTTGTCAAGTCTTCTCCAGGGGCAGCATTGACCTCCACACTCACGTCGCCACCAGTTTGAGACTGCAGCATCCTGATCTCCTGCAGAGAGTCCCAAGAGAGAAAGAAAGAGCCCAGGTCATTTCTGGTGTGGGGACAGTGGGCAAAGCAGCATGAAGGCACAAAGGAATGACAGTCACTGGACATAAGGCTGAATTGACTGGATGTGTGTCTCTGGGAACCCTGAACAATTGACGTACTGTCTATGGTTTTGCCTTTCTGTTTGGATCTTACCTCCTCATGGTTTCTCTTAAGAGCAATGAGCTCATCCTTCAGGGACTCTAGCTCTGATTCCAGTGAAGACCGAGTGCAGGTGAGCTCATCCAGGAGATTTCTCAAGCCATTAATATCAGCCTCCACAGTCTGACGGATGACCAGCTCATTCTCATACCTTCACCATACCGTGCTGAGCTGCGCCTGCAGTTCAATCTCCAGATTCTGCATTTCACGTCTCAGTTCCGTGAGCTGGTGGCTGCTGGTCTGGATGTCCTGGCTGCTGGAGGTGACCTGGCGGTTGACTTCTTCAATCTGCAGGAGTCAAGCCCCAAACACACAGTTTGTAAGTGAGAAAACCCCACGGGGAGCAGATGTGCTGACTGAGAGCTGGGCTAGCCAGGGAGCCTGTCCCTCTCATCCCAGCCTCATGGAGGAGAGCCTAGTCATTGCTCCATAGATGCTGAAGTTCCACCCAGGTCTGTGTATCAGCCCTGGCCTGCTTCCCCTCTGCCACTGCAGTCATCCCACAGCACTTTGTCCTTCCCATTCCCCAGCTGTGGAAGGGAGGTGCAGGTGAGCAGCCTCCCCCTTTCAGCTGAGGGCGTTGCATGGCCAGTGCCAGGGTGTCTGGGCTTCCCCACAGAAGGAGACGCTGCTTGGTGTGTCGCTACGTACCTTGACTTCGTACCACTGCTCCACCTCTCTGCGGTTCTTCTCAATGATCTGCTCGTATTCGTTTCTCAGGTCATTGAGTACCTTTGTCAAGTCTTCTCCAGGGGCAGCATTGACCTCCACACTCACGTCGCCACCAGTTTGAGACTGCAGCATCCTGATCTCCTGCAGAGAGTCCCAAGAGAGAAAGAAAGAGCCCAGGTCATTTCTGGTGTGGGGACAGTGGGCAAAGCAGCATGAAGGCACAAAGGAATGACAGTCACTGGACATAAGGCTGAATTGACTGGATGTGTGTCTCTGGGAACCCTGAACAATTGACGTACTGTCTATGGTTTTGCCTTTCTGTTTGGATCTTACCTCCTCATGGTTTCTCTTAAGAGCAATGAGCTCATCCTTCAGGGACTCTAGCTCTGATTCCAGTGAAGACCGAGTGCAGGTGAGCTCATCCAGGAGATTTCTCAAGCCATTAATATCAGCCTCCACAGTCTGACGGATGACCAGCTCATTCTCATACCTTCACCACAGAGAAGAGAGACAGAGAAATGGTGAAATGAGATTATGATGGTTGATACCTAGTTCAGTATCCCAATAAAACATGAGGACTCAGTAGCACCACTCTGGGAAGTGCTGCCTTGTCTCCTTTGGTTATGAGGAAGATTTGAAAGACACGTAAGGTTCACCAGAGGTACTCACTTCATTCTGAAGTCATCAGCAGTCATCTTGCTGTTATCGATGTCCAGAAGCAGTCTGTTATTGTCCACAGTGGCAGAAATGATCTGTAAAAGGGAAGTTGGGGAGGGGTCTTTTTGTGTTCAAGACATCTTGCACAAAGCTTTGGTAGAGCTTTGTGGTGGCTCTTGGAATTTTGTCCTCTGGTAGTTCCAAATTTACTTGTCAAGAAAACTTTGGATAGCACAGTCATCCTCCCACATCCTTACTGTTTGCTTCTTTTGCACTAGTTAGAGAAGGTTCTCCACATGTCCCAAGGAACATGGTCATCAGTGGGCTTTTTCGCAGTTGGTTTACCCTATTTTCTTGATACCAATGTAAGCTGATTGTGAGGGAAGGCCTTGGACCATCCAGCCGGCACATGGAGGAGAGCGCAGAGACAAAGGGAGTTTGGCTCTCGCAGTCCAGGTGCTTTGGCTCTGCGCTGCATCCAGCTGAAGTGAGTGGGAGCAGAGGGAAGGAATGGAAACCACATAAGCCTGGTTTGGAGCCACCTGGACAACGTGGGATTTCAGTTGCACGCGCCAGCATGTTTGGGGCTGGTGGAGCACTCCTTGATGCCTCAGGCCGTGTCCCAGAGCACATCCCTTTCACTTGTGGGGTGGTGTGGGGCTTTGCTCACCCAAGAGATGGGAGGCCCAGCCCAGCAGGTTTCTGCCTGTGGTGCCACCAGCAAGGCCACCCAGTAGCTCTGTCCCAGCCCTCGGAGCCAGTGCCAGAGTGAAGAAGGACATCCTGGCAAGCGGGAGTAGCGCGTGGGAGATGGAGGCAAGCTAGCTGGGGCTGCCCTACCTGGTTCTGGAGTTGTTCGATGGTCTGGTAGTAGGAGGTGTAGTCCTTGGAGACGCTGGGAGCTTGTTTCCTGTACCACTCCCGGATGTGGTGCTCCAGCTGAGCATTTTCTTCCTCCAGCCGTCGCACCTTGTCCAGGTACGCGGCCAGGCGGTCATTGAGGTTCTGCATGGTGACCTTCTCATTGCCGCTCAGAAGGACATCCCCCCCAGCAACAAAGCCTCCTGCAAAGCCACCACCAAAGCCACCAGCAAGGCTGCCTGCGCTCATGCCCCCTCCATAGCCCGTGCTGCACGCTGCCCCACCGTAGCTTCCACCACCCACCACCGAGGAGGCGTAGCGCCTGCAGGAGACGGAGGAGCTCCTGCCACTGCCACCACCACAGACACCTCCACCTCCACCGCTCCTGAAGGAAGTACTGGAAGTTCTCTTGATGCTGCAGCTCATGGTGGAAGCACCGAGATGTCCAGCCCCAGACGCAAAGCCCCTGCACAGCTTGACAGAGCAAACCAGACTGCAGCCTGCTGGCCTGGCTGGTGGCTCTTTATAGCGTGTGGGGTGGGTGTCACCTGCCAGGCAGTCCAGCTTCCCATGAAGTTTCCCAGCCCCAGTGCTCATGCCAAAAGTGATGTGCTAAGGGGAATTTGTTTTGGGGCTTGGGACAGCCCTCCCCACAGGTGTTGTGTTTGCATGCTGATTCACACAAAGCCTGCACTATAATTTCGGGTGGGTGGCTGTGTGTTAGATTTTGCTTCAGATACCGTGCTGCTGGCTACTTAGTGAGTGAGAGTCATTTTAATAGTTCCTCTTTGTTCTTTGTAGTAATTTTTCGTCCTGAAAACAGGTGATGAAAGCTCTGTCTAGTTTTAGTTTCTGATTTGGAGAAATATGAACTCAGGCACCCTGTGCTTGAGTTTTGTTGCATTTTGCCTCTGAAATCCCAGTAAATTACACTCTAAGAATTTCGAGCCTTCCTTACAAGGAAGGCTCCTCGTATGTACTGCCTCTTGGAGTGCTCAGTAGTGAATCTCAGTAGAAAAACCTCTGGACAGGCAATGCCATCTCTGTTTTCACCAAACTCTTGCTCTGTCCCTTCTAAGTAATAATCCCAAGTCTTGCACAGAGCAGTGGACACACAGTGGTGTAACTTTAAAGTTGTTATTTTAATTCTGTGTTAATTTCCAGTCACTCAAAGATTATTTAAACTGAAATAGGTGTGTAGAATCTTTAAGGCATCACTGACTCTGTCTTGGGAGAGGAGAGCTAAAGGATTCAGCTTTTCAACTTAGAAAAATGGAGGCTAAGGTAATTACCAGCTTGCTCTCAAGGAAGGATCTACCAGGGCTGTTTGAAATAAAGGACAATCCTGTTGACCACATAGGAAAGAGCATAATCTGGTTTTGAGTGTGTTTAGGCTGGAAACTAAGGACAGCTTTTTATCTATGGGAGGGAAAAGGATCTGCAAAGTGCTTCCATTGCAGCATCTATAGATGAAAAAGAGAGACAGTTTTGAGACTAACCTTGATCAACTGATGGTAGGGATTTTATCCTGTAGTAGTGTCAGCTGTGATGACCCTTTAGATCCCCCTTGCCATCTACCTTTGGTCTCTCTAACAGTGCTGCACAATTGCAGTATTTCTGGAAGACAACAGCACGTGATGAACCCTTCTTTGGAAATGAAATTTTGCCTTTAAATCACTTCCGAAAAACTGAGATTTTATACCTGAAAGACAAGGGGCCTCTTTATGGGAGAGTTAAACTCTGATGAGAATTCATCTCCATTTGGAAGTTAAAAATTTCCAGTTGATTGCATTGTTAGTTTCTTCCTTCACCATTCTGCTTCTACACAGCTTGCAGTTTTCTCTGCAAGCCTTGTAGCCACAAGGATTATGAGAGCCACCAAAGTTAGTCATGGCATGGCTGACTGGAAAGCCTTTTACCTGCTTTCTTGATACCCACATTTTCATAGATATGCTGAAGATAATATAATACTTTGATCTTCATAATTATGATTGTTCTTTTATTGGTAGCTCTCTAATTACCTGCATGTCAGAACCAGTTGCTTTGCATATGTTACTGTGACTGAGTCATAATTATTAAAAAATAAAAATTATTTTCTCACAGGGTGTGATTCCTTACTCATGTTTTCCTCATTAGGTTGTCGAAATTCACCTTTCTTCTTCCCTATGAGATGTTTATTGATGATTGGCATTAATGCCAGAGGTGTTGATTTTATACCTCCTTCTCAGCTGTGTTGCATCATAACATGTAACCCAACAATTTCAAACATTTCCCAATGCTGTAATTTCATCCCATCAACAGGTACCTTTTCACTGTCTCTCTGTCCTTCTCTTTTCATTGCTGAATCTACTCTGCTCACTGCTTTAGGTCCATCACAAAAGCTTTAGCCTCTCTGTTCTGTAACTCATGGGTATTTCCAAGTCTCCTGTGCATTTGTGGTCCACCATCCTGCGGACAAGGCCCTTTGGCCTGAGATGTCTCCTGTGAGTCAATTTGAATGTATGGGTTTACTTCACAAGCCAGAAGAGCCAGAGCTCTTAAGGTGCCATTAACATTCATAACCCTTGTGATGGCAGAAAAAGGTCAGGCATTTTCTGTTGTAGAGGGTATAGAGGCTTCTCAGCCGTTTGAAGAGACTGTTAGAGCTTTGAAATCATGTCTTCCCCTGAAGACTTTTTTTTGCTCACAATGCACCATATGAACCTCTGTAAATCAAAAACATTTGTTTGAAGTTACAGAGTTTTGAAGCCTTCCCAAGTGCTGTTTGCCCACTCATGAAATTGGATACAGAGCCACAAACAGATACTCTCAGTTGGCAAAAGAACCCAAAGCAGTCAGTGGTTTTCTCAGAAGCTGTGATGCCATTACTAGGGATATGTCTTTAGTCACACAAGAGGGAGAGGACAACCTCAGAAAAAATTACTGGTAATTAATTGCTCTACAGCAAATGAGTCAACTGTGGTCTTGGTAAGCAGAGTCCTACTCCCCGAGTTTCCCCAGGAACTCCAACTGTGCATTCCCCATCACCCTGCAGCATCACTCACTGTGGTGCTTCAGTTTGTCCACAGGTGATTGGTTCCCACAGAATCCCACAGATTCTGTTCTTATTTTTCTCTTACGTGGCTCCCTGGGATGGACCCTTATACCTTGCTCATGTGTGGACCTGCAGAGAATCCTATAAATGTAAGCTATTTGAATTCTGCCATCTAAGTTGTTATTCAGTAATCCCTCCTACCACTGAAAAAGGAGAAGTTTAATAGTAATTCCCAAGAGAAATTAAGCTGTTCCAGGAGCGCAATCCTTTCCTCTTCGCTTTGCCTCTACCTGCTGGGGTAGTGTATTCCACAAAGACCTCACACTCTGAAAGAGTAGTTGAGAAATGGGGAAAGACACGCAGCTCTGATGTTCCCTTGAGTTTTCTGGATGTAGAGGGCTGTATTTTGATCTTTCTGATACTTCTCTGTGCTTCTGGAAGATTAGAAGGAAGCAAAATAACCTTTCAGTGCTTATTTATATTCACCAACCGCAGTTCAAGTTTCCATAATCCTGCCTCAAAAAATGTGTCTTCTGAAGCTGCTTTGGCTGTGTTAAGTACAGCTGAGACATGAATGATTTCTGCCAGCCTTTGAGATGAAAGTCATGCTTTCATTGGCTTTGCATCCCTTTCTCTACTGTTAAGACCTGAAATGAGCTGGTTTTCCTTTGGAGAAGGGCTTTTGTTCATAGAAATTCCTGATTCCAGACTGAAAAAAGCTAGTTTGGAAACTCAGCTTTTCAATGTGAATAGAAGGTGTCTCTGTGCACACAGGCTGCAGTTACCGTGGAGTGATGGCAGAGCCAAGCCCCACAATTAGCCTCAATAGTACTTGTAAGCTGTTCATGACAAAACTTTTTATTTCATTACCCTAAGAGAACATAGCCTCAGTCTTAAACAAAACCGCAAATACCAGAGACCAGATTGGCTAGAAAAGGGAACAACAGGCACTTGTAACTGAATGAAATCTGGCTGCTTTTGTGACTTTGATCTACAGTTTTAGATTGAAAATGAGCTTTACTGGCATCTTCAGAAAGCAAAATATGTGTAAATCAGCTGTTATAATTTAGTATTGTCCTCTCATCTCTAATTTTACTGCATATTTTATCTTCTTAAGGAGAAAAACTTATATTTGATTGGTTAGCTTGGTAAACACCCGCTGAAAGTTTGTGAAATTAAATTACCAGACATGTTTTCATTTGCATTGCAGAAGTAAAATTTTATTTGAGGCAGAGTTATCAGCAGAATTTAACCCCTTAACCAATTGATAAAGACAAGTTGAGTAAGAGAAGCACTATGCAGTGGAAGAAGAGGTGTGGGGGCAGGTGCCCAGGCTCTCTCTCTTTCCAAGTTGTTTTGGCTCTGCCAGTGCTGCTGCAGGAGGGTTGTTCCATTCTTAGTGTGTCCCAGTTGGAGGATACCGATGTCACTGCTGTTGCTCCAGCACACTCCTGACTGTAAAGACAGAGAAAATCATTGCTTCAGGGGGAAATCTGCCAGAAAACATGTCAGAAAGAGAGAAGAGGGAGAAGCTCAGAGGCTCCAGGCATCTTCTCAGAACTCTATTATTTTAACTCCAAAGAGCAAAGCATATCCCATCCCGTAAAACTGATAATCTGTGTTTTATATTTAGCAGGAGGTTGGGGCAACACTTTGTATATTTTAACCCCTGATTCCTCCATGACAGAGTTAATGAGATTCTCTCACTCCTGGACTACTGGACGTGAGAATCGTGGCCAGTAAAAAATACAAAACACAAAACTTTTTTTCTGAACAAAATATATTCTAGTCATTAAGACAGATGTAACACACTTTTAAACATATCCTTACAAAGTGTTGTATTACCTGTCACATCACCACACTGGGAAAGAGATTAGGAAGTAGAAGAGTATGCATGGGAGGATTTTCCACCTTGGAAAGCTCCTTGAGAGGCACTGTAAAAAAAGAGGAATTACTTCACAAAAAAATCCCTAAGCACTAGACATTCAATCAAAAAGATGTTGATGTAGCTCCAGGGACAAGAGCTCCCTATTAGCAAGTGAATACACAAGGACTTATTTCTATTAACTTGCTATAATATGGAACACATACGCAATGTCCTGCTGTCCCTCCTGCAGCAGGGCCCGGTACTGAGCGATCTCCTGCTCCAGGCGGGTCTTGATGCCCAGGAGCATCTTATACTCCTGGTTCTGACTCTCCATCTCGCAGCGGATACTGGCCAGCTCCTCCTCCACAGAGTTAATCTGCACTTGGATTTGTTGCAGCAGGAAGCCGTAGCGGGAATCCGTTTCTGCCAGGGAGTTCTCCAGAGAGGTTTTCTGGAAGTGGAAGTGCAGGAGCTCAGGGCCAGAGCTCTCCCCATCCCTGCCCAGGGCGGGAGTTTCCCTTTGGGGGAGGGAAGAGCCCCAATCCCTGCCCCATGTACCGTGCTGAGCTGCGCCTGCAGTTCAATCTCCAGATTCTGCATTTCACGTCTCAGTTCCGTGAGCTGGTGGCTGCTGGTCTGGATGTCCTGGCTGCTGGAGGTGACCTGGCGGTTGACTTCTTCAATCTGCAGGAGTCAAGCCCCAAACACACAGTTTGTAAGTGAGAAAACCCCACGGGGAGCAGATGTGCTGACTGAGAGCTGGGCTAGCCAGGGAGCCTGTCCCTCTCATCCCAGCCTCATGGAGGAGAGCCTAGTCATTGCTCCATAGATGCTGAAGTTCCACCCAGGTCTGTGTATCAGCCCTGGCCTGCTTCCCCTCTGCCACTGCAGTCATCCCACAGCACTTTGTCCTTCCCATTCCCCAGCTGTGGAAGGGAGGTGCAGGTGAGCAGCCTCCCCCTTTCAGCTGAGGGCGTTGCATGGCCAGTGCCAGGGTGTCTGGGCTTCCCCACAGAAGGAGACGCTGCTTGGTGTGTCGCTACGTACCTTGACTTCGTACCACTGCTCCACCTCTCTGCGGTTCTTCTCAATGATCTGCTCGTATTCGTTTCTCAGGTCATTGAGTACCTTTGTCAAGTCTTCTCCAGGGGCAGCATTGACCTCCACACTCACGTCGCCACCAGTTTGAGACTGCAGCATCCTGATCTCCTGCAGAGAGTCCCAAGAGAGAAAGAAAGAGCCCAGGTCATTTCTGGTGTGGGGACAGTGGGCAAAGCAGCATGAAGGCACAAAGGAATGACAGTCACTGGACATAAGGCTGAATTGACTGGATGTGTGTCTCTGGGAACCCTGAACAATTGACGTACTGTCTATGGTTTTGCCTTTCTGTTTGGATCTTACCTCCTCATGGTTTCTCTTAAGAGCAATGAGCTCATCCTTCAGGGACTCTAGCTCTGATTCCAGTGAAGACCGAGTGCAGGTGAGCTCATCCAGGAGATTTCTCAAGCCATTAATATCAGCCTCCACAGTCTGACGGATGACCAGCTCATTCTCATACCTTCACCACAGAGAAGAGAGACAGAGAAATGGTGAAATGAGATTATGATGGTTGATACCTAGTTCAGTATCCCAATAAAACATGAGGACTCAGTAGCACCACTCTGGGAAGTGCTGCCTTGTCTCCTTTGGTTATGAGGAAGATTTGAAAGACACGTAAGGTTCACCAGAGGTACTCACTTCATTCTGAAGTCATCAGCAGTCATCTTGCTGTTATCGATGTCCAGAAGCAGTCTGTTATTGTCCACAGTGGCAGAAATGATCTGTAAAAGGGAAGTTGGGGAGGGGTCTTTTTGTGTTCAAGACATCTTGCACAAAGCTTTGGTAGAGCTTTGTGGTGGCTCTTGGAATTTTGTCCTCTGGTAGTTCCAAATTTACTTGTCAAGAAAACTTTGGATAGCACAGTCATCCTCCCACATCCTTACTGTTTGCTTCTTTTGCACTAGTTAGAGAAGGTTCTCCACATGTCCCAAGGAACATGGTCATCAGTGGGCTTTTTCGCAGTTGGTTTACCCTATTTTCTTGATACCAATGTAAGCTGATTGTGAGGGAAGGCCTTGGACCATCCAGCCGGCACATGGAGGAGAGCGCAGAGACAAAGGGAGTTTGGCTCTCGCAGTCCAGGTGCTTTGGCTCTGCGCTGCATCCAGCTGAAGTGAGTGGGAGCAGAGGGAAGGAATGGAAACCACATAAGCCTGGTTTGGAGCCACCTGGACAACGTGGGATTTCAGTTGCACGCGCCAGCATGTTTGGGGCTGGTGGAGCACTCCTTGATGCCTCAGGCCGTGTCCCAGAGCACATCCCTTTCACTTGTGGGGTGGTGTGGGGCTTTGCTCACCCAAGAGATGGGAGGCCCAGCCCAGCAGGTTTCTGCCTGTGGTGCCACCAGCAAGGCCACCCAGTAGCTCTGTCCCAGCCCTCGGAGCCAGTGCCAGAGTGAAGAAGGACATCCTGGCAAGCGGGAGTAGCGCGTGGGAGATGGAGGCAAGCTAGCTGGGGCTGCCCTACCTGGTTCTGGAGTTGTTCGATGGTCTGGTAGTAGGAGGTGTAGTCCTTGGAGACGCTGGGAGCTTGTTTCCTGTACCACTCCCGGATGTGGTGCTCCAGCTGAGCATTTTCTTCCTCCAGCCGTCGCACCTTGTCCAGGTACGCGGCCAGGCGGTCATTGAGGTTCTGCATGGTGACCTTCTCATTGCCGCTCAGAAGGACATCCCCCCCAGCAACAAAGCCTCCTGCAAAGCCACCACCAAAGCCACCAGCAAGGCTGCCTGCGCTCATGCCCCCTCCATAGCCCGTGCTGCACGCTGCCCCACCGTAGCTTCCACCACCCACCACCGAGGAGGCGTAGCGCCTGCAGGAGACGGAGGAGCTCCTGCCACTGCCACCACCACAGACACCTCCACCTCCACCGCTCCTGAAGGAAGTACTGGAAGTTCTCTTGATGCTGCAGCTCATGGTGGAAGCACCGAGATGTCCAGCCCCAGACGCAAAGCCCCTGCACAGCTTGACAGAGCAAACCAGACTGCAGCCTGCTGGCCTGGCTGGTGGCTCTTTATAGCGTGTGGGGTGGGTGTCACCTGCCAGGCAGTCCAGCTTCCCATGAAGTTTCCCAGCCCCAGTGCTCATGCCAAAAGTGATGTGCTAAGGGAATTTTGTCTGAGGTATGAAACAGGCATTACCATCACCTTCAAGTATGTCTGTTGATTCACACAAAGCCTGCACTATAATTTTATGTGGGTGGCTCTTTGTTGGCTGTATTGTTGGATAATATAATATCTCACTGCTTCTCTTCAGCTGACAATGTATCACTAGGTATAGGTGTTCATGAAGGTTCTGCCTTGACTGTCTGTCTCCTTCAGTCTTATCTGTCGTGAAACTCAGTGTTTCAGCTCTTGCCTTCCTCCTGTGATCCCAAGTAGTGATCTGTAAGTCCAGCAGCCTCCAGGGGACTCTTCAGTCATTAATTTATTTGAAATTTATACTTGCTATTTAGAAATCTGTTTTATTTACTAAAATAAATTATTAAATTTTTAAAAGGAATTCCCAGCTCTGTTATTGATTTGAAGTTTACTCTGAATTTTTTACTCTCCTTGCTGCTTATATTGAAGAAAGTCCTGCTGGTATTTAACTTCTGAAAGTGTAGGGTGGTGATTGCAGTCATTTTTTTTGTTGAACAAAACTGGATGATGGCCACAGAAGTAGTATTTTGCAAGGGAAAATATACTAAATATTTTCATATCAAACAAACTTTATTTTAGCTGTTTTAAATGGACTCAGGAAATTAAGAGGAGAAATGTTTAATATTTCACATCTTCAAAATCATATTACAACCAGCTATTTCTCAGCGTTTGTCCTTGAATTGTATAATGCAGTAAAAAATAAGTTTGATGAAATCGTACAGGGCCAAAGATTAGATCTGAAATGTTATAATAATTACCTGAAGTTGTTGCAATGAATTTGCCAATGATGAAAGTCTTGCAACACGAAACACAGAGTAAGGAACAGTGGTGTATTTTTTTCCACTGCCTCTGCAATATGGGATGTTCAGCGAGTTCTTTTTTCCATCTTTACTGATCAGCCATAAAACTGAGAAAAGCCTTGAACAGAAACAAAGGTTTCCAGCTCCTACAGAAGAGTCGTGTCTTGTACAAACTAAGCACAAGGAGCTGGTGGAACCTGCTGGGAATCACACCCTCTAGGATACTATCTAGTGCACATGCAGAAGTCTTTTCTATACCTTTTCCACCATTTCCTGAATCTTTTACAGCTCTCTCATGTTATTTTTGAGACAAGGTCACCGAAGACACAGGACTGGAGTTGCAGCCCAGGGTATCCATGTGCCCTTGACTGATACAGTGGAATTAATGACGTTCTTTGATCTTCTGTATGTTGAACAGAGAATCATCTCTATGGCCACAACCTTCCAGGGGATCCAACCTTTTGCCTTGACCTATTTTACCTTTAATCCGTGGTGTCATCTCTTCTTCCACACAAACTACATTTTCTTGGGCAGATTCACCACTAGAGGCCACTTCCTGAGCACAGCCCGGCACCAGCACCCGAGCCTGGAGTCCATGTGCAGCTGAAATACACCCTTCCCGGGTGCTGCCTCAGGGTCCTTTGGCCCAGGATACTCTCCCAGCCTTTGGAGCTCAGGCTCTTTTTAATACTAGCGTCACCATACACATACATTGCTGTTGACATGAACATTTTATGGAGGAGAACTTTGTAAGGATCCTGTAAATAAGATTTACTTTTAACTTATTTTTCTTGTCTGTTCAAAACCTAATCCCTAGCTTGTGCGTTTCCAGTTTAAACTGATGAATATCAGTTAAGATTTTGTGAATCACAAATGGAAACTTTTATTTTACAATCATGACTCTGTAGTAATTCGTGTTTCTTTGTGTCAGGCAGTTAATTGATGCCAACTTCATTAGTGTTCATGTAGTGCTGTGATGCTGCAGTCTGCTCCAGGCTGATATTCAGCTGCTATTGACTCTTAGAGCTCAGCTCCACAAGAGCATCTGGCATGTTATAAAAAACAACAGCACAGTCCAGGATGCTCCACAGCCCTGAATGCTCAGAAATTGTGCCTTAACTCTGAATTCCACTATCAGCCACTTCATGTATCATGGGCTTTTCTACCTGGGGATGTGTTGGCAGGACTTTGTGTTTTCTTTTTAAGTGTGTACACCTACAGAATGGAAGAAAACCTACAGACAGGATCCTTGTTGCATCAGACAGAAATGAAGTTTTATTAGCAACCTTTCCTCGGACAGAATGACCCAAGTGACAAATAGGTTGAATCTGCAAAGCAAGTAGCTCAGGTGCCAGTGACTGAAGCCAGCAGGCGTTGGGGCAGAGGTGCACAGGGCAGGGGGCCCATCTGAGAGCTCTGACAGGCCTTTTGGGTAGATGGCATCAGCGAGGCTGAGGAACTGTGAAGAGCGCCTGTCTTTCCTTGGCAGCATGGGGAATGTAGAGGATTTGGGCCAATTTCTGTTTGAAAGGTCTTGTGCTGTAGGATCCTCAATGTACGTCCTTAGTCAAATGATTTTCTTCCATACCCTGTGCAGAAACAAGGCAAGCATTCATTTCCTCAGTACCAGCACTCAATCTCTGAGGCACCAGGATAGCAGACAGAAAAGATAACGTGATAAGTGACCATGGGCATTCCAAAAGCATGCAGGAAAACTTCAGGTGGTACAAAAGCACTGGGAGTTACGAGGTTCTGCAAAGAATGGGAGAGGTGAAAAAACAGCTGGGGGTTTAACCATATGATCAGCTGATGGTACCCATGAAACTGAATAGAAATTGTGTTTTTCTTAATCAGAGTTGATCTTTTGCACACAAATAGGAAAGAATTTTTAATAAAAGTAACTTTAGTAACTTTTCCAGAAACTTTAGTTTATCCTTGGGATTGTTTAGCTCCAGAAGAGTATGTGGATGTAGTTTATAAATTAGCAAGGGTGGGGCTCAGAGAACATTGTGTCCGTACAGCAATTCTTACCTTGGCTTTCACCACCGCTCCTGCAGGACTGAGACTGGGAAGATGAAGAGTAGGAGTGGGAACTGCTGATGCCTCCTGAGGTCCTTCCTCCTCCAATACTGCATCCACCACCACTTCCCCCTCCCATCCCTCCGCTTCCTCCTCCCATTCCTCCTCCGCTACTTCCTCCTCCCATTCCTCCTCCGCTACTTCCTCCTCCCATTCCTCCTCCCATTCCTCCTCCCATTCCTCCTCCCATTCCACTGCCAGAGGAAATGCTACCACCTCCATATCCACCACTCATGCTACCACCTCCTCCTCCTCTTCCTCCTCCAGAAGAATAGCCACCACCTCCCATTCTACCACCTCCCATGCCTCCTCCCATTCCTCCTGCTGGGATTCTGCAAAGAGAGAGAAAGGAAAAATAAAGTTAATCAAATGCATTTTTTATCTCAGAAGGAAATCTATCTACAGAAACTGCATGGGAGCCTGCACTGCTCCTGTCTGGACTGTTTAGAACTTAGCACAGATCAGCGTGACAACTGATGCTGGGCCAAAACTCAGCCTCCCTTTCAATTTCAGCTTGAATGCACATTCAGTGGGAAATTTGCTTTTCCCACATTCTGCTCATATGTTTCTTGCAAGATTTGGCGTTGTTGCTTTATCAGTGTGCAGTGGCACTGTGCTCCAAACTGGAGAGGCAGAAAATGAAGCTTTAGCTGCTCTTGCACCTAAATAAAGAACCACTTACAAAGCAGGACCAGGCTCAGTGCTAGAGGGAAACTAAAGCAGCTTAAAATTTCAGAGAATTGTACACTTAGGCTTTTATGAAGGTTTGGATAACTATGGTCATTTTTATGCCTACAGTCATTTCCAAGGTGATTTCTCTCCATTCAGTTCCTGTTTTTTTCAGGAACCAGGGTCATGGTAGGGCTCTGGTCCTGGGTATCCCTGTCCAGCTCCAAAAGAGGTTTAGAATTTTTCCTCATGTGATTTAGGTACTGAACTGGTTTGCCAAGAAATGAGTAGTATCTCAAACCTGGGAGGCAACTACTCTAGACAGCTGAATTATCCTCAGTTCAGTCCAAAATCTGTTTGGCAAACCTAGACTGTTATTTCCTGTCCTTGTGACAAATGCAGCAGCCCTGGGCTCCAGAGAGCTGTTCTTTCGGCAGTTTACGTACACAAGGTCCTGCTGTCCCTCCTCCAGCAGGGCCCGGTACTGAGCGATCTCCTGCTCCAGGCGGGTCTTGATGCCCAGGAGCATCTTGTACTCTTCATTCTGACTCTCCATTTCGCAGCGGATGCTGGCCAGCTCCTCCTCCAAGGGGCCAATCATGGCCTGGATCTGCTGCAGCTGCATGTTATAGCGCCGCTCCGTGTCCTCCAGGTTGGATTGCAAAGAGTCTACCTGCAAATGGAAAACAAAATACAGTGTTTATGAAAATGTGGCAAGTTTAACTAATTTTTGTGGGAAAACTGGAGATCTTCACAAACCAGGAAGGAGCATATCTTTGCAGATAAGTAATCCAGTATCCCATTCTTAACAGATGGAGGATTTCTGGGTGTATCCATTCTAGAGGCACTCACAGCCTGTGTGACTGGTGAAGCAGAGGCAGGTACCTTTACTTACCATGCTGATTTGTGACTGCAGCTCAATTTCCAGGCTTTGATATTCACGTCTCAGCTCAGAGATCTGTTGGTTGCTTGATTGTATCTCCTGGCCACTTGAGTGGACTTGTTGATTAACTTCTTCCATCTGAAGAAATTCACATACAAAATTGAGGCATTTTGGACAATAAGAAAACATTGTGGGGTTATCATAAAAGCCTGGAGAAAGCAGGCCTCCCTGAGGAATTCACCTTCCCACTGCAGCTCCATTTCTACAGGCTTTACCACATACCCTTAACACTCCAGAACTGACCTTTTACTCTAAACTGCTTGAAGTAATTTAAAGTGAATATCCCTTCAATAATACTTGGTAAGTTCACTTCCCTCTGCTGGATGTAAATAGGTCCAGTTCTTTGTGAAAGATTTAGTAACCAAAACCCCCAGTGCTTTACCTTGGTTTCATACCAGCTTTCCACCTCTCTCCGGTTGTTCTCAATAAGCCGTTCATATTCAACACGCATTGCATTTAATTTTTCCATCAAGTTAATGCCAGGAGTAGCATTGACCTCCACACTGACATCACCACTAGATTGTGATTGCAGTCCTTTCATTTCCTGAAAAAAAAAGCAACAACACAAAAAATCCCACCAGATTCTCAAAGGGTAAATGTGAAGAGAAATGTTATCACTTCAAATACAGGAAAACAGAAGGACACAAATCCTCACACAGCCCAGTTGCTCCTGCAAAGGTGCCCTCATCTGACCTTGTCATGAGAGGGAATAATTCTGCCATTCCTAAAGCAAACATTACAGTGACCAGTAGCCAAGCACACATTGACCCTGGTATTTTCTCCTTGGGGTCATAAGGAATTTGATGCACCTTGCTCTTTGTGAAAATCCTTTTATGGATTTTTTATATCTATGAGAAAAATATTTGCAGGTAGTATAAATATTTTCTTTTGACTCCTCCATATATTCTATCTGATTTTCCTTCCATGAGTTCATCAACAAAACCATCCATTGGACTGAAAGCCCTGCATTTTGCTGGTCTCTTTCTGCTACATGTTGACCTAGCTGTGTTTTTACATCAGCTGCGGCAGTGATGGATGCTACATACTCCTAAAAATAAACCCAGATGGTATAATTATCATGAGATTATCAAAGCCAGTGGCCAAAATCTGGTTACTGTTAGTGGAAGAAATCCCCACGAAATTCTCTCAGTGTTGAGTTTTTGTTAGTTACTATTTTAAAGTGTGGAGAAACTTACCTCTTCATGGTTCTTCCTGAGATAGATCAGTTCCTCTTTTAGAGATTCAAACTGTGTCTCCAAGTCAGATTTGGACAGAGTCAGTTGATCCAAAAGTGGACGTAATCCATTAATATCACTTGCCACACTCTGGTGGAGAGTATATTCAGTTTCATACCTGAATGACAGACAGGAAAGGTGGTACAAGTGCTGCCAGACCTTTGTTTGTCATCCTGACTGTGAACAGTTCTCATCAGTACATTTTTGGACTTTAATCCTATCACTTAATTTTTAAAAGAAGGGACCTAATTTTCTTTCCATCTCAAATAGGTTTGTTTGATATAAGTAGAATTTATCTCTGTGAGATTTATATGCTGAGGAGCACTCTTATGTCTCTACACACAAGGGTGGAGAAACCGAAAATGTACTGCTTTAAATGGCACAGTTCAGTAACTTGCCTGGAGAAAAATAACAGTGAAAGGCTAACAGTCTTTTTCAGAATGCTTTTCCCAACAATTGTATATTCTGTCATTGAGCCAGGAGGCTGCAGCATCTATGAAGAAGAACTGGCAATATGAACTCATGGAAGGTGAAGGGAGGCAAGATGGACTGAAATGGGAAGGGGAAGACTCACTTCAATCTGAAGTCATCCACAGTCATTCTGGTGTTGTCAATGTCAAGGAGGATCTTGTTCAGTTCCACATTTGCACCAACAATCTGAAAGGGAGAGGGCAGGTCTTATTTGCTCAGATATCTTTTCAGTTCAACATGCAGGGAGAGGGAAGGGATCCCTGTGCAGAAACACCTTTCAGAACAGCTCTGTGGTCATGTCAAGCCTGACTAGTCCTGCAGGAGCTAGAGAGGAGAGTTTATTGTCCAGCTAAAAGAAAGTATCTTTGCTATGAATTTTGGTTTACAAATATCCATTAAAAACAAATATCAATTTCCTCTTTTGGAAAGAAAAACAAAATAAACTCCTCATGTTCCAGAAACAGTGAGAGAACATAACTACCATTGCATTTGGCAACAACCATAATCCTTTAGGAGATATGGAACTATTAAATTGTTGATGGTCAGAATGAGACTAAATGCACACTGACTCCTGTGTACTCACAAAAAGATGCAGTTAGTGTGGCCACCAGCAGCACAACACAACTGAGCAGTAATTACATCTCCTGTGGAAGAGAGCATGGAACAAACAAGAGCACAGCCTCGAAGGGAGCACTGGACAGGCCCCCCAGTGGGTGCACCAGTAAAGATCTGCCATTGACCACAGGCAGGTGTGCCCCAGCACGCACAAGCCCCACAGCAGAGAGGAGCTGGCCAGGCTGTGTCATCTCCAGCCTGTGTCCTGGCTACAGCAAAGGAGAGGACGTCCCCCCAAAGAGGGGAGCGTTGCTGCAGGAGGGAATGCCCTTCAAGTGAGAATCTGTTCAGATTTAAGTATCACATCATACCTGGTTCTGCAGCTCTTCAATTGTTCTGTAATAATGGCTGTAGTCCCTGGTACCAGTGGGACCTTGATTTTTATACCACTCCCTGATCAGGTGTTCAAGGTGAGAATTTTCCTCCTCCAAGTGTCGGACTTTATCCAAGTATGAAGCCAGGCGATCATTAAGGTTCTGCATGGTCAGCTTTTCATTTGTGGAGAGCAAGCCACCATCTTCACCAAAGCCCATTCCACCAAAACCACCTCCACCATAGCCACCACCACCAAAGCCACCACTACCCCCAAAGCCACTAAATCCACTGTATCCACCACTGCTGAAACTACCTCCACCCATGCCAGCTCCATAACCACATCCCATTCCCCCAAAACCACCCCCACCTGATCCAAATCCTCCTCCCATACTTCCACAGCTCATTCCTCCTCCATAACTGCCACCACTCATCCTCCCACCGAAGCTACTGTGGCTAATCCTTCCACAGCTGCCGCTGCTAAAGCCCCCTCCATAGCTGCTCCTTGAAGCTCCTCCACCAAAGCTCCTCCCAGAAAAGCCTCCACTTCCTCCAGAAGAGGTATATTTTCTGGTGGACACTGAGGAGTATCCACCAGACTTCCGTACTCCAGAGCTGCCACCCCCTCCACCACCTCCACCACCACCCCCACTGCTAATTCTAGTGGTGCTAGATGAAGACTTAGTGCCACAGCTCATAGTGACAGCAGGTGAGAGTCTAACCACAATCCCAAATTTAGGTGCACAGCCTGATAAGATTCAGGACTGTACATTTTCATCTCCAGCTCTCTCTATTTATACTTCTGACTGTGGGTGTCACCATCTGGGTGTTTCCTTTTCCCAGGGCATTTACCAATCTTGTTGTTTGTGCCAAGAATAATTTGCTGAACAATATTTTTGTACTGATATCTCAGGCAATCTAGCCCATTGGTGGGTTTGTGGTGTTTGCTTAAGACCGAACCTTTCATTTCTCCAGGGTGGCAAGCTGGCCATTTCACTTTTTCTGGAATGGGATCTTCTGCCTCATGCAGCCTGGAGCTGCTTTACAGTGGAAAAGTCACTTTACACAGGATCTTGTTGAAATCATGTATACCTACCTGATGGAGCTCTACAGAGAACTTTTGTGCTCAGTTCTTCCCTAAAAGAAGATAAGTCCCAAATCTCTCATGTTAGGCTGTACATTTATTTCTTCAATTATGAATCTGCTTTCTTTGCTAAGGTTTTTGTAGCTGCTGTTAGCAGACTACTGTTCTCTTTTGCTCTTTTATATTTTGTGCACTTAAGATCTTCTGCAGTGCTGATCTCTTCTTGCTAAAAGTAATAGTGCAAGAGTTTTATTAAAAATACTGTATTGTGTCTGTTTAGATTGTCCAACTTGTGTATCCCTGCCATCACTCAGAGAGTATCTTTATATGAGAAGTCTGTTTCAAGCAAAAAGTCCTTCCTTTTTGAAGGAGGTGATAGGACAGCACACTAGACTTTGAAGCCTGGATTTTTTTTCACCAAAGAGCTGTTAATCTAAAATAATAGGAAGATTAAGGATACTTTATTTGTGTTATAAAGTCAATTGTAGCACAAGTAGAAGCTGTAGTGTTGCAGACAATGCCCTATACTCTACCTTTTCTTGTTTAATATAAAGCTGTTCATTCTCTGTTATTACTGTGCCATATATTACAGGTGATAGAGTAATTATATATACAGCTCTTAATGCAGATATCATTGAAAATCTGGAGTTGTATCCTGGGAGAAAAGCTGAAAGGCTTTTTACACAAATCAGTTGAAATTAGACTGTTGAGACCACAAAGGAAATTATACTGTACTGAAAAATCAGTAAGAAAAAGGTGTTTAGGCCAGCAGCACCAGCTGAACCTGATTCCACCTGTCACCTACAAAACCACACTTGTGTTTTTATGTGTCATCTTTATCCTCACTGAAAACTCAATATTCTTGTTCAAATGCAGAATCTCATTTCCTCAGCGTCCACTTAGCTCAGCTCTTGCACTGCCAGCTTTTATGATAAATGTACATCTTATTTTTTCCTGCAAAAAGAGCAAAGCTGTCATCATTTGGGGTCTTGCTGCAGATGGACCCCAGCAGATGGCAGGGATCCATTGCCTTGGATGAAGGTGTGCAGTTCTGCAGTGAGAGTTCTGTGCTGTTACTGAAATGTCTTCATTGCCTTTCCTCCTCTGGGCCTGGTTACTGATCCTCTAACGCCTCTAGGGTATCTGTGAAATGTAGTCATCTCCCCCTAAACCTTCGGTGCAGGGAACAAAGAGGGGCACACCAAAGAACTTTCTTGTTGTCATGCTGCCCTTTCCTCAGCATCACCACCAAGGCCTCAGGTAGGTGACAATGCAGTGCAGGCCTTGCCTCCCAAAGGTCATCTTGCTTTGCAAGCTGATTGTGTTGCTGCTGGTTCTCACACTGCTGCCAGTCTCCATGTGTAGGATCCTTTTACAAACTGTATTTCTGCCTCTTCGTTTATGTTCTTTTCTACATGAAATTAACATTTTCTGATAGAATCCATTGTCCTGTCCTTTGCACTGTGCTTTTGCCAGTATTGCTTTATTGGTGCTTATGCAACCCCTTTCAAAAGCTCTTTGATTTTATCTCACTATTTGATATACTCCATGGTTAGAAGATGATGAAAGATTTCAAGTAGCTTGACGATGTGGTAATTTCTCCTTGATTCACAGCTGGAGGATGGTAGTGGCATCTCAGCAGCATAAATAGTTTCTGGGCTTTGGCCTGTCCTCCTGTGTGCTGAAAGATGTAGTTTACTATATGCAAAATGTTTTTTTCTTTGTAATGTTGTTTTGCCTTTCTAAGCTTGCTTAAAGAGCCTTCACAAATTTTAGTTCTCTGGTGCTTTCCACTGAAGTATGACATGGATGACATAAAGTTTATAATTTAAGGAATTACCTAAAAGGAACCCACCATTTTAGGACCTTTTCTCATCTCTTTCCTATCTGTAATGCATAGTTTGAACATTAATGTCTGTGTGTTGACAGAGCTGCACAGATCAGAGCAGAGCAAGGAGATCCCACCACAGCTTCCAGCACAGCTCACCCTGCAGAGCAGCTGGATGTTTTCAGACGGTGACACCTTCTTGTTAAGCTCGGCACACACCACATTTCAAGTGTAGCTGACATTCTTTCACACTGTCTCTCTGTTATTGTTTTCCTTTTAATCAGGCCTCTGTGATAGATATCAGAGAAGCAATGCTTGGCATGAGAATGCAGGCAAACGGTGAGCAGTTCATGCTGCTGAATTGCTGAGCAAAACTGGGAGACTTTTACAACAGGCTGGAGCTGCTGCTTTCAGAACAGGCAGTGAGAAAATGTGTTCTCACTCTTGGGGCTATGCACTGAAAAATTAAAACATTTCCCTTTCAATCAAAATCATTCTGATGCCATGCCTCAGGCAAGTGCTAGAGTTTATGCTCTTGGTCTATTTAATAATATCTTCCCGTTGCTCTTACCAGAAATTTATGTGAGAAAGAGGATTCTCCTAGGAGTCTGTGCTTGCTGTTCATTCCTATTGTATCTCATAATGTTCTAGTGAAATCACAGTAATTTCCAAAGGAACTTAGATTAGATTTATCAAGGCAGCAGGGAGCTTGCCCTCAAAGTTTAAAATCTCTGACACTCTCATAGTGCTGTGTTGTGCAGGATGACTGTGCCGATGAGCTGATGGAAAAATGCCTGTTGCTCAGATCCTGAACATGTACACGGGCTGTTTGGCAGTTGGATGTAGCAGCCCTGGGTCAGGGCTTTTGTACCCTCCAGCTTCTTGTACATTGTCAAAATGTAAGATTTAGTAAATACCTACTGACCCAGGATTTGGGAATCAGAGCTTTGGACTTCAGCCAGTCAAAGTGCACCTAAATCCTGTCTGTGCCTCCTGCCTCTGGGGATCTGGTCCCTGCTTGGTTGGTCACACAGAATCATCATCATAACAAATCTCCAACACTTGAGGCAAATGGCTGCCTGAGCAACGTGTGTTACCCCTCAGAAAAGTGAAGAAAAACCACAGAAACCATTCACACTGAGATGGGCTCTAGGGAGATTTGTTGGTTCCTTCCTCCCCCCAACACAGCAGTGAGATGGCAAACTGCTCACTAATTGTGTAGCCTGTGAGTATAGCCTGGGTAGCATTTGAAAATTAATTGGGCTGACAATTAATGCTAAACAAAAGAGAGAGCAACAGAATAAAGGCACAGACAGTTTTGAAATTTCATCTCTGCCTTCAAATGGACAAATGGATTTCTCTGGGAATACTGAAGCCAAACAGCAGTGTGTGTACACATTTATTTTTGCCTAAGGCTGTTCTGAAGGTCTTGTTCCAACAGGCACCACAATTTTCTTCTCAGAACACTAGCAGGAACACTAGATAAGTATCCGAATTGCAACATTTTGTGCTTATAAAATTAAAGCTTATTATGCTGGTTAATGCCCAACCAACTGCATGCAAACAGAACGTGCAGGTTCTCCTCACGACTCTTGATATCACTGAAGTCCCACTTCAAGCACTAAGCTTTGACACCTGACACTACAATATTTGTATTTCTTACTCCTGCTTTCCAGGAGTTTTGGGTTTCTAGCTCTGTTCCTCCACATTATTTTTTTCCATCATTATTATTATGACAAGTCTGTACTCTCAGTGAGCAGGTGCCAGTGATAACCTAGATGCAGATTTTGTAGGTACAAAATGAAAAAAAAAGGAAAGAATGCTTAAACTGGTGCTTTATCCCAGGATATGGTAAGAAACCATGTAAATCCAGGCTTCATACTGTCTGTAATGAGCACTAATGCCATGATGAAGTAGACATTTTTTTAAGTTTGGTGGTGGTTTGGATTTATTTTGTCACATACTGTAACATAGAGCAGATTTTATTATGAAGCGTATTTCCATTATAGATACCAACTGATTCTGTGCAAGGAACATGGTGAGAACACCTGGTAAAGAAAGGCAGAGATTGTAGGTAAGGGAGAAGACAGGACAGTCAATGCTGAGTAGTAAATGTAGTAATAATAATGTTATATTATTTATCATAATTGTTCAGAATTTTTACTTATTTCTCCCTGTGATTCTAACAGATCAATGTGAGCACTAAAAGCAGCAGCAGAGCTGCTCAGCACAGGACAACACGTCGTGTCCTCCTGCCTGCTGTGTCCCGTGGGGCTTGTCCCTCCCACACAGCCCTGAGCTGCCATATTGCCGTGGGGTTTCTCCTTCCCACACTTCCACCTCTCCAAGTTTCATTCTGCTTTGCTCTCACAGGGACTTGTTTCAGTGGAATTTCTTCTGCAAGGTTATATGCATGGATGCTGGATCTTTAGACCACTGGCAGTAAAAATACGGAAAGTAAGTTGTATTTTTTGAAAGAAGACAGGGGTCAAGGGGTCTCAGTAGTCCTCAGAGCTGCCAGGGTGGTGCAGAGCAGCAGGCTCCAGCATAGCCAGGCTGCTCCTCCGACAAAGGGTATCTGACCTCCTTCACAGCCTCCTGGGTGTTGCCATCAGAGCAGAGGTCCTGTGCTGGCCTGTAAAGCCCCCTGGAAAAGCCAGGAAGCAGGCTCAGAGCTGCCAGGGTGGTGCAGAGCAGCAGGGTCCAGCATAGCCCCTGGAAAAGCCAGGAAGCAGGAACCCAGCAGAAACATTTCTGGGGTTCACTTGGCAGGGCCATTGAGGAAATATGAGAAGCAGGGCTCCTGTGTTGGGAGTCTTCTTTGGTTTGGGCTCTTAGCTTAATATCCTGAACAGACAGGTCTAAGAAAGCAAGAGTGTAAAACTAGCAGAGCAAGCAGAGGAAGCAGGTTGAGGGGACAGCTGGTGATGTGGAGACAAGTGAGCTTTGATGCTGCCAGGGTTTTAAAAATGAAGTAGGTGATTTTGCAGCATGAGGGAGGTGAGTGTCCCTGCAAACATTATCAACAGTAGCAAGTCAGGTCAGGGATATCAGTGTGTGTGCAGGCATAAAGCAGTTCCTCTTGGAGATCAGCCAGTTCCTCAGACCCCAATAAAGACACTGGTCAGAAAAAAAAATAAAAATCTAAAGTTTTTTCTCTTCAAATACTAATCCCATTGGCTGAGAGCCTGGCATGGGGCAATGCAGTGAATCACTGGCACAGATCTGCCGAGCACTTGGGTGTTCAGGATTCTCGTTCCCACAGTCTCCCACTCACTCTGTGTTTCTCAACCTTCTCCTCAGGGTGATGCCTTCTTCAGAGAGGAGAAAACAAAACTCCTGAGTGTAAAACAAGGGAGAACAACAGCAATGCTCCCACCTGGTTCCCTTTGTGTTGAAGCAGAGTCTAGAAATGCAAGGGATACAGAGGGCATTAGGGAACAGGTGTCATGTTGACCCTGCTGAGTTATTTTCAAGTGAAAATCCTTCCAGCACTTCAGCCCGCAGTTCTGCTCACACCAACCCCACACCTGCATCAGCCTCAGCAGAAATGAGCAGCACCGGGAGGACAGAGCAGGGGAGTGGGCAGGGCAAACCCTCCCATGGCAGAGGAGGGAAACCTGCCATCATGGAAACAAAGAGTTCAGCGTCTGTCTTCTAGGGCATCTGCAGCCTTGTTACTGTGAGCAGTCCCTCTGCTCTTAGGCAACCCTTAGAGTTGCTTTGGGAATCCTTTCTCTCGGATATAAATTTTCTCTATTAACCTACCACTGCATTTTGACAAATCATGTCCTAATTAGCAATAATTTGCCAGTCTGCTTTGCAGAAGGTGTGCCTGCCCATACTTAGAGGTGAGAAACGCCCTGAAGCGGAAATCCATTGAAGAGGCCAGGAGCTGCCACCAGGCAGCAGGGCCTAACCCCCCCCGAGCAGGGTTCTGATCCATGAAACTTGCCCGTGGATTCCTCCTTCTGTAAGACCATATGGCTCATACTCCAGCTTTATGAATTTATTTACAGCACAGATAACTGCTGCCACAGAGTAGGGATATCCTGTTACTGAACTTGTACCCACTCGCTATCCAATGTCTTCCCAAACATGGAGCACTCAGAATGTGCTCATCTTTGATAATTAATTGCGCACAATTCAAATTCTGTTCAGGGGTGTTTTGGCACTGGGAGCTGAGAATTTCCATCTTTAAATTCCATGAGAAAAGTTTCATGATGCATTTTAGTGACAAACTAAGAAAACTTTTCAAGAGGCTTTCTAGGGAATAGTCAGTTCCTTAAACCCACCCTCCCTGACAGAAGTCAAGAGCGGAAAAGAAGGGGTTTTGACTTAGGTTTTCCCATTGCAGAGACCACCAGAACATTGTACCTGTTCTGTATTCTTCAAAGTTTGGCTCAGTCTCAAATGGAGAATATGCTGCTGCAAACTTTTGGGGTTTCTGCATAATCTGAGATGTTGTTGTGTATTCCACAGGTAGGGCTTGATATTTGTAACTGATTCAAACAAAAATGTCCACTAAAGGAAATTGCTCTGAGACGTGGCTTTCAGGTTGCATCAGAGAGAAGCAAAGGTTTATTAGCTTTTTTTTTTAGTGGGTTTTTTGTGTGCTTTTTTTTTTTTTCTGCACAAGAATACCAATCACGGTAGAGATTAACTCAGATAACAGTGATTAGGCACAGAAATTCAGATGGAAGCAGCAGGCAGGCCATCCAGAGAGCTCTGGTGAGCCCTGGAGGGACAGCATTGAGTAGCTTGGCCAAGGGTTTGCTCTGGCTTTGGCAGCGCCGGGTGCACTGGGGATGGGCTTGGTCCAAGGGCTCAGTGGGAAGGTCCTGCAGTGGAAGGTGCTGGTGTCGCCAGTCACTCCTCAGACTTCCTAAAACTCCCTGCCGAAAGATGAAGGAAAGCAAGAATTTCTTTGAAGTGTTACCTCGTTCAGCATTTTGGTTACTCACAGACTGCAAGTTCTCAGTGGCCTAGATTGTTTCCCAGGCTTTCTGGAAAGGTTAGAGCAGTGTCAGACTTAACACTTGTTCAAGCATGTGTGTTTGCAGCCTTAGCATGCTAAATATATGGACCTACTTCAATTCTCAACTGACTGTAATAGCAGAAATCAGATACAGATTAACTTAGAATCTGTATTTACGTGTGTGTATGTATTTACATCAAACTTCTGTAAGATAAAGGTGGATGGCACATACCAGAATCTTGCCTCCCAAGCATTAGTACTCACAGGACTGTTGCAAGTAAGCCAGGATGTTTGATCAAAGGAGAAAATTTATATGGGGGAGTTTGAAAATCCAATTAATTTTTTAAAATTAGATCTCCCCTACACCAAATCTTACAAAAAATTCTTAGTTCTTACAAAACTCCTGCCTTTGTTTTCAGCATCAAGAGAGTCTTGTAGTGCCCTTCCTTTCTATACTGATGCTTCAGGCCTTCTGGTTGTAGCCAATGCTGCTATAACCAACTGTGATGGAAACCAACGTGCTTGTGAGACAGACTGCATCTTTAACTGAGGTCACTCCCTATCACTTCCTGTAAAAGAAGGAATATGTGGAAGCCTCAAAGCAGGATCAGTATCCATCTTTTGAAAAAAAAAAAAGAATCAGAAGTGGAAGAGAACCTTTCTAAAAATATAACTTCCTGTTCATTTTCAGCGTTCTCAGGCATTTGTCTGAGATGCTGCCAGGACCTGGAGCCTTACCTGATCTCATTGTTTTTATGGCTTCAGACACTTCCTCCATTGTTGCTCCTCTTTCCAGTGTTTTATTCCCTTCCAGGCAGAGCCTCTTGTTTTCAGCAGCTCCTGGAACCACAGCCATGAAATCAGACATGGGGAAGATCTTGTCGTCACTCCCCATCTTTTGCTATTTCAGGATTTTGCTGATTAGATTTTAAACATCTTGAGTGTTCCAACTATTTTACCCTGGTTTACCTCTTTCCCCCCTTAGTATCAGTTACATCCCAACACTTGGCTTAATTCCGAAATTACTGATTTCTCTAATTCCCTTTGGACTGGGCAGTATTTTTCTTTTCCCCCCTTCATCTCCTCTTTCTACACATCTTTTGCCACAGCTCTTTATAATATCCTCTTCATTTGAGTCCCTTGTGAAGAAACCACTGTGTTTGTATGTGGCTGTTTAAGAACAAAGGTCAGAGTGGACCTAAAACACAATTGGGAAAAACAGCACAAATATCTCCAGATTTCCAAATAAGGAAGGAACTTGTCTTATCCTTTCCTGCTATTCAGAGAGAAAAGTGAATAGAGGATGTTCTCTTTTATTCCGGTTTTTACCTTGGCTTTCAGAAGAGTTGCCAGACTGGGACGATGAAGAGCGGGAGAGGCAGGATTTGCCCCCTCCTCCTCCACCACTGCCCCCTCCTCCACCCGAAGTTTTACCAGAGGTTCCCTCTCCTGTTCTTCCTTCGCTCCCTCCTCCTCCACCTCCAGAAGAGGAAGTTCTTCCATGACCTCCAATTTTTCCTCCACTGCTTCCTCCACCTGAGGACCAGCTACTTCCTCCTCCACTACTTCCTCTTCCAGAAGACCAGCTACTTCCTCCATGACCTCCTCCTCCTGCAGATCCACTACCAGATCCTCCCTGTGAGATGCTGTAAGGAGGGAAGGGCATGTGTGTGTAAGATTTACAGCAGCATGGCCAGTGTCTGGCATCCCTTCGGCTGCATTGAGGACACTTTCTGACTCCCTCCAAGCTCCTGGAATGACTGAGAAGGGACTTTTTTCTGTACTTGTTTTAAGCTATCCTAAGGACACATTAACTGGTCTGCACAGAAGAAGAAAAAGAAAGACGATGGAAGGCTTTATAGGTCTTTCAAGCTGTGAACACTGAGTATTTATAAAAGACATTTATTTTCTTGCTTACTTTTCATTTCCTATATAACTGTGCTTCCTGATTATACTTGGGAGAAGAAATAGCAAAATATCATTCTAAAAACTTTGGACACATTTTTTCCCAGTTTGTGCAGTGCCACCTAAGGTTCAGATTCATATTAATCCTTGTGATTGTGGGAAATATGTTGATGATTAATTAGTTACTCTAGTTCCTAATACAAACATTGCTACTTCCATCTTACCTGTTTGCACAGAGAGGATGTTAATCAGTTTGAATGCACGTACCCAATGTCCTGCTGTCCCTCCTGCAGCAGGGCCCGGTACTGAGCGATCTCCTGCTCCAGGCGGGGCTTGATGCCCAGGAGCATCTTGTACTCCTGGTTCTGACTCTCCATCTCGCAGCGGATACTGGCCAGCTCCTCCTCCCAGGGGCCAATCATGGCCTGGATCTGCTGCAGCTGCATGTTGTAGCGCCGCTCCGTGTCCTCCAGGTTGGATTGCAAAGACTGTATCTGAGAATGAAAGAAAAATAGTGTTTATGGGAGTGTGGCAGGACTAGATGATTCTCCTGCCCCAGATGAGGAAAATGGTATCAGATGCACCCACCATCTCCATTAAAGGGAGCGCCCTGGAGCTGGTCTGTCAATCCAGCAACTCTGTGTGCTTTGCAGATCAGAGGGTCAGAGCAGTGGGTACCCACCATGCTGAGCTGGGACTGCAGCTCTATCTCCAGGGTCTGGTAGTCACGTCTCAGCACAGAGATCTGTTGGTTGCCTGACTCCAGTTCCTGACCACTTGAGTGGACTTGTTGACTCACTTCCTCCATCTGAAAAGTTAATATACAGAATTGGAGTTTTTGAGTTTTGCCTACAATGTCAGCGCTGTCATTTATCATGGAAGCATCTGACAACAAGGGTTGCCTGTTGTTCAGGGGCTATTTAAACTTGTTTCTATGGCTCTGCCAGTGCAGTTCAAGCCCACTTGTTATTTCCTTTATTTTAATCAATGGGATTCTACTCTTTAATCCTAAAAACAATGAATGTTGTTCAAAGTGTCATTCATCACAGGAAGTTCTTACCAGAACTTGGTTTCGGTTTGCTTTTGTCATGTGAACATGCACACTGTAACCATTTACCTTGCTCTCATACCAGCTTTCAACTTCTTCATGATTTTTCTGGATAATTTTCTCATATTCTTCTCTCATATCATTGAGTTTTTTCAGTAGATCTTCTCCTGGAGCAGCATTCACCTCCACATTCACATCTCCACTGGACTGTGCTTGCAGTGATTTAATTTCCTGCAGAGACAACCCAGGCCCAATGCAAATAAACAAAAATGCTGAAATTACTTTGCCAGAGTTTTGAGGTCAGTTAACTTGCTCTGACATCATAATCCTTCCTGAATACTCTTGACAATGTGTGTATGTATGTTTGGGATTTTTTCTTGCTGGAATTCTTTGGACTTGACTTCCCAGCCCATGTTTGTTGAGGAGCCGTGTGCTCAGAGCTGCCCTGAGCAGCCTGGGCCTGCAGCCAGGAGGGCTCCGGGCCCCTTGCTGAGCTGCTGCACATCAGGAGAGCAGGAGGGACCTTTTCCTGCAGAGAATGTGACATGTGACACCTGCCTCCATTGCCAGTCTTGTCAGATCTTCTTTTCCATTGCAGTTTGCATTTTGAGGAGCTGGCTCTTACCTCCTCGTGATTCTTCTTGAGCTCAATCATCTCCACCTTCAGAGACTCAAACTGCATCTCCAGGTCAGTCTTGCTCAGAGTCAGGTTGTCCAGCAGGGGCCTCAAGGTGTTGATGTCAGCCTCCACGTTCTGCCGGAGCCCGCTCTCGGTCTCGAACCTGCACCAAGGACAGGACAGAGAGGTCAGCCCTGCTCAGTCCTCTCCTGCTGCCTGCTGATGAAAGGTCACGTACCCCAGCAGCTCAGTGTTTGCTTTTGTGTCTCATAGCACACAGCGTCTCTCACCCAGCAGAATTACGAAATCAGCAACCAGTACTTAAAGTGTAATTCATTAATTAAAGGATCATTACAGAAACAATGAAGACTTTGGAAGTCTTACAAAGCATTTCATTTCTACTGCCATGAAACCAGGAGGAATCCTATTCCCTGTGGGCTGATGTTTGTTTGGAGTGAATTTATGAAACTCACTTGAGAAAAGTAGAAGAATGGAAGTAAGTGTCTGGAAAATAGGAATATATATTTACTTTGTCCTGAAGTCTTCTACAGTCATCCTTGTGTTATCCAGGTCCAAAAGTACCTTGTGGGTTTGCACAGTGGCAGTCATAAGCTGGAAGAGAAGATGTTATGCTGAGGAAACTTTCCCCTGTCAATCTCTTGGATTTGCACAAGAGACAGAAATATGAATGTGATCTTCCTGTTATAATTCCCAGGTGTCTGAGGGGAACAGCACTTCCTGCATACAGAGATCTGGAAAGGTCATCTCCAGTGCGAAACAGAGAAGTACCTGTGTGAAAATAGCAGTGGAACTGCAAAAACTGTTTTGAGTCCAAGAGTCCTGTCAAGAGCCTTGGTGTCAGCTCCATAGCTCTGGGTTACCTTCCATGCCCACAGGCCAAGGGCTGTACCCACATGTCAGGCACTGCACACCCAGAGGGTGACTGGAACCATTTTTCCTATGCTCTGAAATCTGCTACATGCATTTTGAGAGTCTGCAGTCACTGCCAACAAGCAGTCCGTGGGGTGTGCTGTAGGGATGTGCATGGCTTCTCCACCTCTGGTTGGAGATTGTTGGGTACATGCACAGAAAGCAGAACTTCAAGCACATGAAGCACTTCCAGAGAGGCACTCAGTGAGTTTAGATGTATCCTTGCCTCAAACATTTTACTCAATCACAAAAAATCTGTCCATGCTTACACTTCTCTGACAAAGAACATCCTACCTGATTTTGAAGATCTTCAATTTTTTCATAATAGTGGCTGTAGTCCTTGGTACCAGTAGGGCCTTGCTTCTGGTACCACTCCCTGATGAGCTGTTCAAGGTGAGCATTTTCCATTTCCAAATTCCTGACCATGCGCACGTACGAAGCCAGGCGCTCGTTAAGGCTCTGCATGGTCAGCTTTTCATCGTTGGAGAGAATTCCCATATTTCCTCCATGAAAGCCACCACTGAAACTAGCACCACCTCCACCAAAGCTCCCTCCATAACCACCACCAAACCCACTCCCACCTGACCCAAAGACTGCTCCCATGCTGCCACAGCCCATTCCCCCTCCATAATAGCCACTACTCATCCTTCCTCCGTAACTGCTGTGCCTGATCCTTCCATAACCACCACCACCACCAGGTCCCCCACCATAGCTGCTCCTGGAGCTTCCTCCACAACTGCTGCCAGAAAACCTGCCACCACCGCTTGTCCTGGAAGTGATGACTCTTGAGGAGGCAGAAGAATAGTTGCTGCTCCCTCCACCCCCACCACTGCTGACACTGCTGCTGCTCCCTCGCAGGCAGCTTTTGGAGGTCTGCTTAGAGCCACAGCTCATGGTGGCAGCAGCGAATGGTTCCGGCTCAAACTCAAAGCTGGTCTCACAGTTGTTCTGGAATCATAGCTCAAACTTCCACCCGGCGTGGTCTGCATTTATACCCAAGGTCGTGGGTGTCACCGTCGGAGGGAGTACCCCTTGCCATGTGCATTTGCAAGCCATAGTTTTTCTGCCAAGAGTAATTTGCCAAAGGGAAATGTTTGACAGAGTGAGGAAGCTTAACCCATACTCAAAGTGTTTGTGACCATTTGTTTGTTAATACAAAACATATAATTTCTACTGGGTGGCTCTAAATTAGGCAGATCTTTTCTGTGATCTAGTCCACTGCCTTACAGTCATCTGAATTAAACTCAGCCCACTCACCTCATCCTGTTCCCATGTCTTTCAGCACAACAATAAAACCACCATTATATGGGACAGTAATGGATGGTCCTGTCTCTCTTTTACATAGTCATTCCTTGTGCTCTTTCAGATATTGTGCCCTTTCAGATATTGGTCAAAGAATCCCAGCTGATTTTTTTATACTTAAGTGATATTTGAAAAGGCTCTGGTTCTGGCTGTCTTACTCTGTATGCACCTTATTTGTAGTCCTTTAATTGCTTTATGCCTTCCTAAAACATCTGGCAGGCTGTGTTTGTAGGTGCACTGAACCTCCCTCTGATGGCTTTGTAATTTCTCATAAAACCTTAGTGAACATTGGCAAATGTCCTATGTGTCAGCAAGGGACGGCAGACAGACATCTACAATTATAAGTAACAATTTAGTTTTGAAAACTGGAAAATAGCTCTGTGTAAAGATGTATGGAAATGGAGAGTGAGATGTTGTTGCAGGGAATAACTCTGTGTGCTCAGACCAAATGCAGTTACAGCTTGAGAGAGCTGGGAAAGGTCTGGCTCTGGGCTGGTCCCTCCTGACATAGCTGTGAATGTGAAAGGGAGTGTTTTCACTCCTGAAGGGAATTCAACATTTCAGTCAGGATGTTTTCCTTCTGCAGTGCAAGTACAAACATACTTACTTGGAGGAGGAAGATTAAGTTCCTGGTTTTGTGATTAAGTCGGTAAAATTCACATCAAAATAGAATTTTTCCTTCAGGGTTTTTTTCCGTTCATGGACATAGCTTGACAGAAAGTAGGAATTATTTGCTATCTTGCATCTGCTTCTTTAAGACTGTACATTTTTCAAGTATGTAGCAGTGGATAGTTCAGCTGAGTATCCCTCTTCTGAGCTCTTACAACAAACTGAGCTTCAAAACCTTTGAAATGTCTTTCCTGGCTGCCCCTCACGTCTGTCCTTCCCACGCACAGGGACCTGAGCAAAATGTACCCTGTTTGCTGTCTTCTTTGTAGGCTGAACTAGTTGTGTGACATCCAACTACCTGAATTGATTTGGGATGTTACTCTTTTCTTGCTCAGCCTTGGTGACTTGCTTGTTGCTAATTTAGAGGTTTGTTTGTTATTGCTTATAGCAAGTGTTTGTGGAAACATCTTTTTATAAACACCCCTCCCAGCACATCCCCACCCACACAGTAGGACACACCTGAAGTTCCATCTTCTTCTAGACTTTGTTTCTGAAATGTCTGAGGAAGCAAGGCCTTCTCAGGCTTGTAGAAATTTAAATGGTTCATTGCAGATCTCTGTGGAGTCTGGAGTCTTGAGTCATAATTTCAGCTTGTTTCAGTGAGAAATCCTTTTCTCTTGAAGTACATAAAATTGTCCTCTACACTAACATCAACTTAGGCTCATGAAACTCTTGGGTTACAGTCTGTTTAGCCATTGCCTTCCAGTTGCTGATACCCATGTTGTAAGTACCTGGATTTATTTCCATGCAGAAAAGGGAAAGGGAAAGGTTTTTTTTTGTCTGGAAAGATGCTTATTACATCTTCTGTATGAGTCATCCCTTGCAGTGCACTAAGCTTCATGTCTTCCATTCACAGAAAGAACATGTTGGGATAGCTTGAGTATCAGGGAGAATGGTTGTGTGCAACACTCTCAAACTAGGACAATACTTTACAGCACCATGTTTAATACAGGAAAGGTAGGTTTGATGCCATTTTGTTCCGTAGAATTTGTGCAGGCAACATACCTCAAGAGTGAAGATTAGCTCCTTAGAAATGAAGAATCCTGATGGATTCAGTGTATCTGGAAATGACTTGTCAGGATCAGTGACAGAAGTTACAGAACAATTGGTTCCTGAAAGAATGTTTTATTTCAAAGTTTGCTGTAAGATGGAAGATGGTTTATGAGAGGATCTTTTTTTCTGCAGTTGTGTCTCATAGGACTGTCCAGGAATTTGTAGGCATACTGAGCTAACTAGATGATCTTAGATAATGTTTCCAGCACAATCTAGAGATAAAGATGCAGAAGATATCCTGATGGGCTGGGAAGACCTTTACAGAAGAGAGATTTCAATAAACTGTGCAGGAACTGCAAGGAGCTCTCATAGTACCTGTGAAATGGAAGAAGGAAACATTATGAAATCCTGACTGGGGCTGCTTATTGCAGCATCAGGCTGCTGCTCCACAAACACATCAGGGCACATCCACCTCAGTTGGAGTGCCCTTTGCTCCCACACCCTGTGGTGCTGAGGGCACAGCACAAGGAGCTGTGGAGGCTCCTCTGGCAGTGCCCAGCCTGAGCTGCCCAACATCCCTCAGGGAGGTGACACTCAGAGCCAGCAGAGCATCTGAATTCACTTTCCTCTACCCGCCCTCATCAGTGGGCTGCCAGTGCTGGAACCAGTCTCTGACACCTTCTGACCACACTGGTCTCAGTCACAGGCAGATGGATGAAGCTGAAGAAAGTCCAGCTGCTGCAGGAGGCAGGGGCTGAGGCAGCCCTGGCCATGCTCAGGCTGAGCAGTGTGACAGGCAGGAGCCTGGGGTGGTCACTGAACATCTCGTACAGACTCTGTGTTGTGCATCCTTGGCCCTGGCTGCTCCCAGGGCCAGGTGTCTTGGCAGAGTCTCAGGTGTGTTGGTTATGAGTATTAGAGAGCTCTTTTGGGTTCTTTTCTGCTAGAGATACCTCTGAGAAGCTGTGATCATCTGTGCCTCTCACACTGGTATAAAATAGGAGGTGTGAATCGAACTGCAAGGTGAGACTTAAAACACAGGACTTGTTTTGATACAGATTTCTTTTTCCACTGGCCACAGCTGCTGGTGAGAACCTACAGCCACTGGGAGCCCCCAAGGCTAGGAGTGCAGTGGTGTTCAGGAGAACCAGGCCTTGTGCAGTGACTGACAGTATTCAGGTCACAGCCAAAACAGGAGGGGGTGGAGAGGAGGAGGAAGATGCCTTGGGGAAGGATGATACCATAATTGTTTGCAATGAGGCCTCTTCCCTTTTCCTGTGATGAAACTGGTGCCAGCTCCTGCCCAGAAGAGGACGGTGGATATTTGAGTCTGAAGGGCACACCCAGTGTGGGCATGAATTCCCCCAGTGCCCTTAAATGGCAGAATTATCATGTGCTCTGTGGTAACACTGATGTGCATTGGCTGAGAGAGAGACTGGGAGAGAATGAAGTCTTTCTCCTCTGGGAGGTGTGTGGCAGCAGTGAGAGGTGAGGCTGAAATGGCCTCCATGGCGGGCTGGGGTGATGGTGCGGGGGTGGGTGTGTGGGCTGAGCTCCTACCAGCTCCCATGGCACCACCTTTTCTGAGCATTTACAGCCTCCTTTGGACTGACGTGTTTGGGAGAAACTGCTGAGGCTTCTGAGCACATTTGTGGGGGGACAACCAGGCTGTTACACACTTTTTTCTGTGCTTCACTGGTGGTGAACCCCCTTAGATCCTTTCTACCTGTAGCCAGGTCTTGTCTGGAAAATTTTATTTGCCTGTAGTTCTACACAGGGAAAAACTGGAAGATCTGTCTGAGGAGTATGACTCACTCATAATTATACATTATAAACTAACTGCCATTATATAATCATCAAGCAATTCTATTAACACCAGATAATCCCACAGAACAATATTTCTTCATAGTAAAGAAGAAACCCAGTCCCTGGAGTACGAGTGTGTTGGAGAGAGAACGTTTTTCTTGTTCTGAGGGACATGGCTCTTCCTCCCCATTGAACTTCAGCTGCCTGATACGTAGCATGAAACTTCTCCTCTCCACTACAATCTAAAGGATTTCCCAATAACTCAACTTTTGCTACCTGGCAGCAGTTCCATCCAGAAATATTTGAGGTTTAAGATGTTGTCAGCAACAACTATTAAAAGTATGATTTTCTCTCAATGCGTCTTTGTAATTAGAAATAGTTGTGTTAAAAATCCTGTGCCCCATTTTTCTCCATGCAGTGGGACACTCAACCTGGACTTTGGTGTGTTCCCACAGCAGTTTGTACGAGGGCTATGAACCCCTAGTGCCCAGTGGGAGCATCTTGAAATCTTTTCAGCACTACTTAGTGGAACCGTGCACAGGACGTTTTGTTCATTCTGTTTCTTTCCTCCTGTGTGTATCTAGGGCCACATCTAATAAAGTAAAACAGTGCGAGTGTAGAGCTCAGTGAGATTCTGTGAACACCATCTCCATGTGGTCATTCCCTGCCTGCCAAGACATACTTAGAGGCTTTGTTAAAGTGAAGGTTTTTTAAGTATCTGTTTTGAAGTGAGTCCCCACCTCTCCTCCTCTCTTCTGCAAGACAGGGTGTAAGTCTTGGCATTTGCCCACACCCTGAGGTGTGTGGTCACAGGGAATATCCCTGGAACAGATCCCTGTGTCTGATGGTCCTAACACCCCACAGCCCCTGCCTGCCAGTTAAAACCGGGCTGCAGCACTGGGAGGTGCTGGGAGGTGATCTGCTGCCTCCGTGTCAGGGCAGTCAGTATCCAATCCAGCAGACATCTCTCCTTTAGGAAAAAGGAGAATTCTTGCATGCATTATACTTGATCTGTTACTCATTGGTTATTGCAGGGACTAGTTGTGATGACACATTAAAAGGCACCTTCAAAATATCCCCCGCCCAACCTAGTAATGGTGATTATGATAAGAACAGCAAGGAGG